TTCCCATCATCCAACTCAGAATGGTTGTCAGTACTATGCGTTATTGCGCATTTCGATCGGGATTGCTTCATGTCCCAGTCGGTAGAAAGGGGACGACCGATTGAACGACCGACATTCGCCATGTAGACATTTAAGTAAGGTTTCATTCTGACGAGGTACATCTGCTCCAGGAGTGCTGTTATAACGAGAAGACAGATGAGAACGAAGAGGAGTTTGAGCCATTTTCTGCGTTTCAGCCTGAAACATAACTGCAATAGAAATACTTCAATCAGGTCTCACATTCGATTACTGTAGATACTAACTCAAGACCGCACGGCCCGCGCGCGCGCTTTTATCGAAAAACATTAGACAAAAATGCTCGTATGACCCGTAACGCATGAATAGGGCCGTACAAAGCTCTCCTACTGCCTCGCGAGCTAAGGACATATGACGACCAATATATGATAAAATTCTTGTTGACTGAGTAAAGTCGAACCGGACGGGAAAATATTTGGCTCTCGGTCATGACGCACAAACCTCCCCAACTCAGTAAATAAGTCCATACTATACAGTGATCGAAAAATTCGCGAAACATTTTAACTTGGGAGACTTTTCACTATATGCGTCAGTTTTCAACCATGACAGAGAAAGTATGACAAATGTTCTTTTTCAAGTCCAAGGAACAACTTGTAGGGTTATTGACTTGTGACAGACACATGTTAGAAAAAAGCTTTCTGGACTTCAGAGTAAAATGTTTTATTTAAAAGTTTGATTGACGAGTTTTCACAGCAAATGCATATAGCAAATAAATTCTACTTGAAAAGTGCACTTAGCAGTGAAATCTTGTCGGTGTAAATAATTTATGGTACAAGTGAATCTCATGGCAGTGTCTCGACGTTCACTTTCGAGAGATTTTCCCCTTTAAATCGATTCCTAGTCAAACCCAAGGTTTAACACAGCTGAATTATCTATTTTCAACTGAGATCTATTTTCAAAGTTCTTCTTTTCTCTACACAAATTTTTAAAATTTTGTTTTAGCTGAAATATTAATTTGGTCAAGATATCAAAATTTTAAGAGAAAGACTTTTGGACGAAGTGTTATTCCTATGGCCTTAAGCAAGAGATTTAAACTGTTTATAATATACTGACGGTAGTAGAACACAGGGGAAGTTTAAAATGTGTTTGAAGTAGCTAAGCATCTTAAAATGACAGCCTGGAGAACAAAAATAATATGAATTACTGTTGCCAAAAGCTTTGCTTATATCACATGACGCAACAAAAGGAAAGTAGTGGTTTCCGTTTCGAGAAAACTTAAGTATCAAAATGCTTGAGCCGAGCTATTGCTCTTTCGTTTCCTTTGTTTTGCCACATCCTCGTTGCCTTCGCCGTCGTGGGTTTGAGCCCTTTAAATATATCCTTTTCTCATTCTTTAAGGCCCCGAATATAAATAAACTAAGTTTATTTAAATTTCTTTTGTTTTCATTGACTACCTCTGGCCACACTCTTAGGTGACCCGTATTTATATTTTTTTTTCAAATCCTGTTTTTCTGAATGACAAAGTAGCTTTCCATCAGAACGCGAATCCCCAAAGAAAAAAGAAAAGGAAGAAAGACAAAATAATTTCAAGCGTCAGATGGTTATCTGGAGTAATTCGATTGTCTTAATGCCACTTGGTCTAAAAGGTGTCATTTGAATGCATGTCACAATTTCGTGTAACGTTTCATTTCGTAATCTACTTCCCGTGCACGAAAGGGTACAATTTATGCAGGGTTCCATTCCGGAATAAACTGTTATTTTCAATTGCATACATCTGTTTTAGTAATTTCTGGACTCTGACCGAGAGAGATGAGGAAGGCAATAAGACACAAATGAACAAACACTAGACAATTTGGCGAACACTTATCTAAATATAAAAATTCAATACACATGCGACATCAAAGCCACATCGAATAAACGGGGAAATTTTCTAGTTTAAAATCATGTTAACTATTGGTTTTTCTTCCCCTTCCTGCGGTTCAAATTTAACAAATTCATCAATACTATTTCTTCGTATCACTTCCGTTTGTTGGTATTCCTCCATTGTTGTTGTTATCCGGGTTCGCTCAAACACCCCTCGCCGATTTAACCCATAACAAGAAATAGGTATTTCGCTTCTGTTTCATCAGGAGTTATGAAAAGTAAATTAAATTACACTCGGTAATCATTTCGAAACGAAGCAAAACCACGACACACGTACCTCATTCGCCTTCAACGACAAGAAATAGTTTTTCAGACGAATGACTACTACTTAGGAACACATTCCCGAACGCAGGGAATACGACACGAAACAAAATTTTACCGGTATGCTCGATCTATTTACAAAATTTAGTGGATACAATGGATCGATATTGAGGATACTTCCTTTAGAAATACAAATATGAGTGTTTTGAGACGTGGACTCACCTTCATGGCTTCAGATAATTCAGCCCTCGTGTGAGATGCTTATTGTTTTCAGCTGTATTTGGAGATGTCATGCGATATTCAGACGCTAGGTCACACTTTCACACATAGCAAATAAATTCGCTGTTTGTTTGATTGTTGACCTGTAAGACGATCTTACACTGCAATCTTCTTTTTCTTTAACAAGAATCTATTCTTAAGGCATGTCAAGAATATATGCTCTTTCTTGGTGTAGAAGACACAGTATACGTCACAATAGGAAATAAATCCGACACGAGCTTGTTCAGAACGTGACGTTGACTTTCCTAGAAATACAGCGGCGAGGAAAATGATTATAAAATGCAAACAAGAATAATTAAAAAAAAGGGATTGATTAGCCGAATTATTTGAATAAGAAAAAAAAATTAACACGACTAAAGAATTCTTGAGCAGCATGAAATAAAACGTGCACTGACAGACTTGATAATCCTAAAAAAGTTTTTAAAAAACAAATCCAAATCCCCTCTTATTACAAAGCTAAAACAAAATGTCGATCACGGTTGCAAATTAATTTTCCTTCATTGAAGTTATTTAACCTGATGTTTGCCGACTTCAAATTTTTAGCGCAATGAAATTTAAATTTAGTGATTACTTGAACTATGTGTGAAATTTAGTTGTCAGTTTTTTTATTGCTGAATTTTATTCAGCTCCACCTGGGTTATATTTTTGCTGGTGTGAATGGGACACTAAGACTAATCGACTCCCCAACATCAATATGCATATTCTCCGCATTGCTCTCTAAACATTTCCTAAGGTGCTGACAAGGAGAATTTATTCAACAATCAAGAGTTTCTTTAGTTGGTGATCATCTCCTTTATTCTCATGACCTTAATCGTTCGTTGTAAGGAGAAATTAGTTGTTAGTCACTTCAAAGGGTTAAAGAGTTAAACTAAGCAAGAAGAGTGAATATTTCATTCACTGCCGTGTTAAGCGTAACGAAAGGTTACTTTGGATTCGCTCTATCTTTTCTCATTTCTCGTCCTCAGCGACAAACACAACGTTAAGACGATGGACAAATCTAAAATTTACACTCTGACGTGGCTTACGTTGGCAAAGACAAGGATTGATCAATGCAAGGTCTTTGAATAAAGGATTGAGTTGCCAGTAATCGGATCCTCGTGTTTGTGTAAAGGTTTCAGGGATCGCCAGGGGTCAAACAACGTGGCCGGCAAACATGAGCAACGGACATGGGAAAAATTGATTTGAGAGGAGGCACAATCGTTGAGATCGTGCATTGAACATAAACCCCGAAAAGCGTGTGACTTCTAATTTCTTTTTACGTTATCTGCCTTTAATCAAATGTAAAGGGAATGAGAACAAAGGAAATGGTGCTGATTTTCAAAATAAATTATTCTCGTCAGTACCATACAAAATGTAAAGAGAAATTAGCAAAGGCGTGGGGGGGGGGGGGAAGGGGAGGGTGGGTCCTGATCCTGTTTATTTTCACCTATGAATTGGAGAGAAACTCAGGCGTCACATTGTAAAGAGAAAACTTCAAATCGCTCTTCTTGTGTACAGGACTTCAGGGAAATCTTGAGGTTTTTATGAGTCTCGTATATTTCAGGGGGCAAATCACGTCTCACGCTGGTTCACAAATTCATGAATCACGCTCTTCTTTCTGAAAAATTCACGCTTCACCTGATGCCAAAAACCTTCCTCGACCAAGTCTACATTTCCGTTACAACTACACGGTAGGACTGGATATGGAAACGAGAATTGGCAAGAGAGGGAGGCTACATTTTGTCTGCCTGTGAACGGTTATGAAAAGAGATCACGATGCTCTATGTCTGCCGCTCGGAACTTGCTTTCTTTTGACATCTTCCAGGAAGAGTTCTGGGCGAAAAGAGACTGGAATAGCCCGTTCTTGAGACTGTGCTCGTAAAACGATGGAAAGTTTCTAAAGCGGAATACAAAAAACGGGCTAAGAAATCGAACAAACTCCAAAAATTTGCTACCTAAATTTCAAAAGTTGCTTTCCACAGGTCTTCAAAAATTGCTCGAGGTTGCTAGAATCTCGAAAAGTTACTCCAAACGCCAAAAGTTGCTTATAAGCTGCCGAGCAGGCCTGGATTGAGATAATATCATGTGGGGACGAGACAAGAAGTGTTTTTACTCTGTCTGAAGGCAAAAACTTCCCTTTCAAAAATTATTTTATCATCAGATCAACTCGAAAGGGATCATGCCTAAGTTAATTCATTTGTTAGCAACTCAGACGGGGTGCTTAATCAGGCGGATGTGCAAACCCCTTTTGTAGATCACGATTCACTTACCGTAAGAAATGAGTTCTGTCCTTCAGCGAGAAGATCCGTAAATAAATATACTTCTGTACCCACACGAAACTACGTTCCAAAGACACCTGAAAGAAGGACTTGAAGAGGACCTGTTCTCTACAGATGGTAATCTGCTGTAAATATTACACAAGATTGGATACAACTTTTTAAAATTGTTTGTACTCAGTTTATCACAGTTGAGCAATGGACGAAGTGAGAGGGGTAGAGAGCGTAAGGGGGGAGGGGGGAGGGCGGGGGAAATGGTAGACAGTGCTATACCCGTCTGTTGGTGTCAGGCGTATTTTGTGACAAACAAATGCAGTACGGTCGCATTGACGGCGCATGTGCAACAATACACTTAGGTTGATCACCGTACTTGTTAACACGATCAATATCTCCATAGACTCTGAAATTCCCCGATGAGTCCAATCTGAATATACCTTCAAATACACCATCACCAGGTGTAGCCTGAAACTGAATTTGATAACTACATGTTGTATTTTCTTGGTCTAAATTCAGATGCATTTCAAGACTTGGAATTTTTTGATAAGCTTCTAACACTGTCTTCATCTCTAGTCGATGGCATAATTTGGCTGTCGTTGGGTGAGACATCAACAACTCGTTGACGTGGCTCACTGCCGCCTTAACAGCTCGAAGCACGTGCGGATGAGCAATGCTAATTGGTTGCCATCTTAAACACGGGCAGTAATTTTCCGGAATACCTGCATCAATGCATTTCCTGTCTTCTGAAAGTGGTTCAAAAAGACTGCTACCGATCGTATCCGTTTGAACCAAAGTTTTCTCTGGAAACATCAACAGATGCTTCATCGTTTTGTGAAGATCGAAGGGTGAGGAAATTATCCGGGTATTCCTAACCAATGCTGTCATTTGCGCCGGATAACTCCGTTTAAACCAAGGCGGAAGAGTCAAAGAAAGAAGTGGAAGTCTGTGCTCCAACTTTCCTTGAGGGCTTTCACGCACGACGCCAAATCTTGCACCATGATCAGCCATTGTGATGAACATGGTGTCGTTCAACAAATTTTTATCTTTAAGTGAAACGAAAAAAGACAGTAATCCATCGTCAGCTGCGTGGGCTAGGCCAGGTTGTCGATGGCACAAGTTTGATAGAAATGTGAAACCAAATTTCCTTTTTCCCGGGTAGGATTTCATAAAGCTTTTAAGATATTTGAGTTGTAATTCAAACTGTGGCTGAGAGCTGAAACAAAGGCCCTTATCTCCTGCATACCACAAAGGTCTTCCATAATGATCAGTTGGCTGATCTTTGAATCCCTTTAGTGTGAGATGAAATGCTCCTAAAGGAGAAATTAAATGAAAAAGCAGTTACAAAAAGCCAAAAAGCTTGTCTACTCTAGTTGTTATTCTCTCAGGGGCGGCCACACTGCAAACTTCTGCTTCAATAGCGGTCAGGTTAGTTTTAAATCAATCATAATGAGAAGACGATACAATCGCCTCGTTTTCCATCTCAGAACAACTCGCTTGTATTACCTTCCATGTAGTTATACCGTTAACCATAAAATTAGTTGAAGAGCTCTAAACCAAGAAATTAATTGTAAAGTGATTTTAGACAATACAACACTGCAAGTCTCATTTACTGTTTATGCATTACATGCACATGTTTGAGCGATTAACGATTGAGTTTCGTGGAACCATAACCAAAGTTATCATAACAGCCAATCAAACTAGAAGGAAAATATCTTAAATAGCCAATGAGAACTCAAAGTAAAAACGAGCAAACTGCTTGAAGCGCGGGAAAACGCAGGAGATCAAGTCGTGATTGGTTTTAGCTTTGCACCTGATTGGTTGAGAGAGTGGCGCGAGTTTTCTGGACCAATCACAGAGCGGAGTAGAGCAAAACCCATGCAATCACGGATTACTTTCGACAAACAACTGAAAATTACTCTAAAGTACTCACCTATACCAGGTTGATCTTCACTCCACATTGTAGCAATTCCAAGACGCTTTAATTCCTTGAATATAAATGGCCACTTGTCCACGTAACTCGAATTTTTATATCCTCGTCTCGCTTCCTTGAATTCACAATTCTCCGACACCGACTTGCCAGTTAAGAAAGCAGTCATCGCCGGAGTTGTTGATTCTCCAACAATAGAATAACCCTTGAAAAATATGGAATCCAGCCCATCTCTAAGGTAGGCATACGTCTTTGGCAACAATCTTTTGAAGTGGGCGGTAGACGTTCCATCGAAAGTTAAAATCATTATGTTCAAGGGTGCACTGTGCGTTTCTTTCTCTTTTGCAACGTCGTCGATCTCTGAAATCGCGGCGTGGAAATCGGATTGGATTTTGCCGTTCTTAAATCGAACGGTTACTTTGAGAAAATCGCTATTTACTCTTGCCTCCCTATTCGTTAAGTTAACAAAGATCCTTTGTCCCAACTTTACATCATAATCAGTTTTACGGTAGATCGGTTCGGCGAAGACTTCAACGATTTCATGCTCTACAGAAGCAAAGAAAGAGCATTTTAGCTACAGCTCGAGAAATGTAAAGTTGAGTTACACATAAGACATTTCATTTGGCTTACCACTTGCCACTCTAAAATGTTAAACCAAAGGAATGTCAGCCAGGGAAACAGTACATTTTTTGTTACCTACACTAAAAAATATTTAGATGGTGAACTTTCTCTAACAGGGCATCTTTATGAACTTTCTTACAGAGGTGCCTTACCATTCGTTTACTGCTTTATTTTGCAGCTTCTCTTTTATTACAGCTTGATTCTCTTGTTATGTAAGCGCTGATTAAACAGTAAAACTTTTGGGCCTAACGTGTTGGAAGAGCATGTTTGACTACTTAAGCCATCTCTCCCAACATTGTATGTAAAAAACTTTGCCTGCTCTAGATCAAACCTTTTCGTAAGCACGTGAAATTGTGCTTCACGAGCAAATATTTAAGCACTCCATGTTGTGTGCAAAAGATAAGTAAGTAACTTTATTTCAATCTGTGTCAAAAATGAAACTAATCGTAATGATACAAGTAAAAAGTAATAGTAATGATACAAGTAAAAACCATTTTCAAGATAACTGAAAATCCATACCAAAATATGATGTTAGGTGCAAATGTGTGATTCGGGGCTTTCAGATTAATCTTCTGACCCCTTTAGGAAACGGCATATGAACACACAGACACACACCCACATACACCCAAACAACAAGGTACTGCTCTTTGTATTCAGATAATCTTGGAAATGGGGCCGAAGTCTTCATGTAATTCGATACAATGGCGAGTCTGGAATAGCTTAATTACCAACCTTTTCTAACGTCATCTAGGAGTCGAAATTTTCCGTTTTGGAACTCCGTAAAAAGCCTCCCCTTGCAGTTTAGTGACGCCACTGGTGTAATCGCTTTCATCACTTGCGGATGAAAAGGGTCCAAAATTGGCAACTTACAGGGCCATTTTGTCTTACTCCGCTCATGAAGATCTGCGTTGAAAGCTAATGGTATCGCGCATTTCTCCTCGGATCTTGATTCGCCTTCAAAATGGACCCTTTCTGTTTTTAGCGTAGTGTTTGATTCAAAGGTCAGACGAACATTCTGTCTCAACGCGGCGATGGCTGATGAGAGATAATCTGTTTCACTCCAGTACTCGTACTCCACAAGCATCAAAACAGCAGCCACAAATGAAACCACCAAAAGAGGCTTGACGTCTTTTCGTGGCTTCATCCTTAAATCCTAGTTGAAGAAAAGATTAAATATGAAATATCTTCATCCGTCGCGGAAAATAACGCGTAACATTCAAAGTGCAATTGAATTTAAAGTCAATTTTGTAAAATATACAATGAGCTGACTCACGGTAAATATATCTTTGTCTCAAAATTGTAATACCGCAATTACAAAATGTAAATTGTTCGGTATATTTAGTCCAAGAAATTAAAGCTGAGAGGTGTAAAATGTCGCCACAGCGATTAATGTTATTAGTGGTGACTTCTTTATACTGAGGTGTTTATCATTTTCACCTAAGCCTTACATACGGTATGTTATCGTACTTTTTCTCCGATCGCTTTTTCTGCTTCGGTTTTGATATGTTCAATACAAACCAAATTTTCTCTTTTTCTTGCATTAAAATAAATTCATTCCTGTGTCAATACACATAATCCCTGTCTTGATGCAAATGATCGATGGCACGACATACATGGCATTCATCAAACAGAAGTACAGAAAAAAGTTTCCGTTTCATCTTGGAAAGCTATCAGCGATCTTAGATTTGTGTTATATACTTACTAAATTTTATCCACCATAAAGCTGGTTCGGCTCAGTTTGTTAATGACCACGTAAAAGCATTCCAATAAAATAACAACTAAAAGTATGTTGCCAAGCAATAACAAGTGCTAATACTAATTGCAAAATACACGTTTGTTTTCATGTGGTTTTGGAAAACACTTTTGAAAACAAACGCGTTTCATCCGGGGCAGCCAAAACATCACCAAAGCGGACCACACGAGTAGAAAACACGAACATTAAACTTGTACAGAAATTCTGCAACCTGGATCGCATCTTTTTTCTTTCCCCGATGTTAGTCTTTTGACCCTGACATACCTGCCTGAAACTCATAGACGAATTAAAAACACTAGCATTAAACTTCAGCACAACAATTTTTACAACCTAGATCGCATCCTTTTTTCCTTTTCACCATGAAGCGAAAGCTTCAGGAGAGAGGGGCTGTCCGATAAAGAAAATCCAGACATCACTTTGTCAACCTCGAAAATGCAATAGACCTATTTAGCTTGTAGGTGTTGTTTCCAATTTCAGGTCCTTGATAACACTCTAGAGAACTAAGAAAGTTTTTTTTCGTCTTGTCACGAGCGTGGTACAAAGAAAAAATTCTGAGTCCCCATGAGGAATCGAACCTCAGACCTTCGGATCTAGAGAACTGTTTCTTTCAAATTTTCTCTTAGTCACGTGGATATGTACGCATAATTGAATTCCCTGCCTCAGACCTGAAGGGAGTAAAAAAAAAAAAAAAACCATACAAGCTTAAGAGGTCTATTCCAAAACAATAGAAAGCGTACATGGAATATTCCTGAGGCAGCTCAAAATTATTTCGTTATTTCTTGACACCAATTTAGATTCTTCGAGAAACCGGCACCAACAATTTTTTTTATGTTTCTTTGAAAAATTTACATATTCAGTTATGACAAAATAGATTATCATAGCAACTCAAGAGCCTTTACGAAACACTCGATGTTAGCATTTTGACCCAGACACACCTACCTGAAGCTCACGAGCGACTTCGGTAGCTTCCCTTTTCAATTAAAGAATAACCACAAGTATATCAAGATTTGTCTTTCATTCAGAAAAAAGTTATAGCGGCTCTGAATCATATTTAGAAATTTTCACATACTCGTGAAAGTAAAGGAAGGTTTATATTCAATACTTTTTCCTTGCCAAAGTAAGCTCGATTTCTTTGTTAGCCATTTACGTGTACAAAAACCTGGTATAAACTGATCTAAACAGAAATGAAAATTCCTCGAAAATTAGAAATTAAATTTAAATGGAACTGCTTTGGTTTCGCTTTTCTTAGCCCTATGATCCAGAAAAACTTGCACCCCTCAATCAACCAATCAGATTCAAAACTGAAGTCAATCGCTTCTTGGTTAACTGCGTTTTCCCGCGCTTCAGGGATTCACATGGTTTTACTTTGAGTTCTCATAGGCCCTTTGTTATATAAAACTTTAATTCTGATTGGTTGTTGCGAACACTTTAATTTATGTTTTTACGACACTCAGTCGGGTGTAGAAAACGGTCATTATTAATCACCTGGGAGGGGAGGGGGGATCGGAGTATTTTATTGGGGGGGATAACATGGTTTTCCAGGGTAACAGAAGGAGAATCAGTCGTCACAGACGGAGTATAAAAGAGAGACTGTATTATAGAAAATTGACTGCCAATGAGGGGAGATCATTTGAATATTACAGAGCCTCAGGGGGGTCCCGCAGTCGATGAACAATGACTACTCCCGAAGAGATCAACATTTTTAGTAACTATTTTAGCGTGGAATCATTTTTGGCGAAGGACACAAGGATTTCTGTGATACAACGATGTGGGGAACACTTAATTTAGTGGACGACAACATAAATAGGATAGAAAATTAATTGACAGGAAGTCAAAAAACATGAACGAGTCGACAAGGTCACAGATGAACAATTTCCTTAGCAGATTATTTTAGTAATAGGTTGAAGTTGCAAAGCGGAAAAAAAAAAAAGAGAATTCAAAGTCGCTTTTGAAAGATCAATAAAAAAAAGTCATTTTTGGGTTATTATTCAAAAACCTGCCATGGTCTTTGCCGATTACCACGCCGAACGGAAGTAAACAAGAAAGTTTCAAATCGAAATGTAAATTTGCTTCGTTGGTTTTGAGTTCCAGTCTGTTTAGTTCGGTGAGTGGATAATTTGTGTCGGTACTTTTATTATTCAATCTCTTAAAATTTCAGAAATTTTTAAGGAAGGTTGTGTGATATCCCCTTTTTCAAAAAATTCTCTTGTGTGTTTACTTCCTTCATGTTTTCTAAGGCAGCCATTTTGTTTGTTATTCCCGCCAAAATGTCATCCGTGGTTGCCAGGCCTTTTTGTTAACGACATGAGGTGCCAACGTTCTTCTCGTTAGGATGATAAACAGAAATGATAAAAACATGGAGACGAAAAACGAAAATGGGATTTTAAACACCGTTTTTTAATTTAGCAGGAAAACGAAAATAGAAGTTCGAATTCCGTTTTTAATTGTCAAAGGAAAACAGAAAACAAAAATAAAAGTTTGAATTCCCGTTTTCACAGGAAAATGGTTGGCACTAAGTTACGCACTTTTTTATATTCAATTGCGAATAACAATTTACTTGCGGAAATGAATGAGTGATTGATCTAAATATAGAAAGGTATAGAAACGTGACGATGGGTGTCGAAGTTTGAGACATTTTTAACTCGACAAGCGGAGTTTGAAAATTTGGAAGCGATGACGTAATTTTGAGCTAAAGTGGTTTTTACAATCGACTGAGAACACGTTTTAAAACGGAAATAGGGATAAAAATAATCCCTTGACGTCACCAAAAAAAAACATTGCGTAATTTTCCATTGCTTTTGAAACAAAGTAGATTATCGAACAAAAACTGCAGACACATTCGGGATAGAGCCAAAAATTTAGACCGAAACATTTTCTGTCGACAACAACAGGCTGACCTTGTTGAAATACTAATTTTCACGGAAGCTAAGCGAAATCGATCGCGCGATTTTAATTTTCTCTCGTACCTATCACGCGTCGGTAGAGCTCATTTCTAAATTTTGTTTTAAACGATTTCACTTCTCGACAGATCTAGAATCTTCAATTGATTTCAACGATTCAAAAGGAAAAAAGCGAGCGGCGATTATTAGCAAACAAATATCACTTCATTCAGACAAGAATTAAAAATTCGAAAACATAAATATATATTTTTTTCGTATCCAGGCAGATGAACTTCTTCGCTTTCATTTGTTCACGTCATTGTTGCACTTCGCAATCAATTTACCGACGTTTCCGTAAATTTGAGCCTCCACCTCCATCGAAAATATCGCCGTAATGAATGCTGTAATGAATCAAAACTTCTTGTTATAAGTACAGCGTTAACGAAGTAGGCAAAATCATCACGCAAGCGTGGGGTATGTATTGCAGCAATTCTTCGCTCTCCGAACAGTTTTCGATCAAACGCGATTTGTTTATACTTCCCCAAGTGATATCCTCTCAAAGGGAATCCTTTCATTGGTTTTCACACCAAAATATCTACGTATTTAATTGTTTTCTGCGGCCGAAGAAAAAATTGACTGGCAACCAGCTCTGAGCTTTGTTTTTGTGTGACGCTGTACACCTGTCTTGGAAGGTACAAGGTGATTGGCTGGTCGCTACAATATTCTTTAATTGCATGCAAACTTTTCATTTTGAATTCAAGCAATATGGCGGCCCTGATGGACGCGTAGGAAACGCAGAGTAAAAAAAAAAAACATGGCTCTACGGCAGGAAGACGCGAGGAAAAAGCCTTCGTCGCCGAACGGAAAAGCCTTCCCTTCGGCGACTAAGTCGGGCGACGACGACATAGTGGAACGGTTACGTCGGTTTAGCAGCGTCTCGCAAGAAGACTTTGAAAAAATGCGACTGGCTGAGAAAGAAGATGAATTTTTTGCGATCAGGAAAGCAACTGATATCACAGAACCTGATACTAAAGGCGACCCATGTCCACCTTTGCCTATAAAGATTATACAAGGCTCGTTCAGACACGTGCTGGGTGTCCGCGAGGCCTGCTCGAAAAACGGAACGTTTTTGCAGCGTACGATCGAGCTACGGCGTAAACCAGGAGAGACTCTGGGATTTTATATTCGTCAGGGTGATGGCTGGGAACGTGAACAAGGTATTTTTGTGTCTCGTGTTGTTTTAGGAACAGATGTGGACGTTTTCGAGTTGTTACGAGTCGGCGACGAGATTGTTAAGGTGAATAAAGTGGATGTGCGGACTATGACCATACAAGATGTGAGTGCCTTGATGCAGATGACTCGACGACTTATACTCACAGTGAAAGTTCTTACTCCGGTAACTGCGATGGCCACTAAGCGTTTAGCTATGAATAAAGACAATAATATACAGGGTTTGAAATCTTTGAGTCCGAGGACCTCTAGGACATCACGATCCGAAGGGTCGGTGGATTCGGCTTCAAATTCAAGCGGGTTATCTCCCGATCGCCGGCTCACTGGTGACAGAAGGTTAAGTAATACCTCGAGTCTCAGTCATCAGGCGAACTATAAGGTAGCAAATCTAGTCATAGGAAAAAACAAAGATGCCATTAGTACGGGAAATCCACAGGCCACGGGACCGAGCTACCGCAGCTCGCGTCGTTCATCCAAGTCGCCGGTGGGAGGCAGGAGAGCACTGTCGCCAATACGGGAGACTTCTGCAGATATATTTAACTCTGAAGCGGATGATCGCATGTCAGCTCACGAGCGGGGTCGCAGTAGCAGAGCTGCGAGTGTCGTGAGCTGGTCTGATCAATTTTACAGTGCGTCGGGAGCGAGTAGCCCCGTCAAACACAAGCCAAGTGATAGAAGGAGATCTGAAGCACAGAGTTCCAGACCTAAATGACCTCTAGATTGCTAAGAACGACCGAAAAAGCAAAACAAATCTCTTGTTAAGAAACTGTGGCTCGGAGCATGGGTCAACTAGGAATTAAAGATCAAGCTGAATGAATTTAATCGCAAAAGCTTGATGGTTTATTAAAAAGTCATGGCAAGGAACTTCGTGTTTGAGGTGCGAGCTTTCGCTAGCTCGAATGCGTTGTTTTCTGCAAGCTGGCAAATTGAGCACAGACCGGATTTGATAAACACAAACTCGTCGGAATGCAAACTGCGGAACAAAGATGTTTTTATTAAGGAAGTACCTGTTAAACAGTTTCTACAGGGTTAATATTGGAAATATCTCTCAGAATAGCCGTATTGTAACGCGAAACTTCCACCAAAGTAGCTGAAATTCGTTACAAGTACAGGCTCTTCGGATATGAAAAGAGCCCTACCTCGACAAAGCTTTCAACACGACAATTCTTTTATGTGTAACGAGAGAGACTTTTAATCCATTGCAACGCCAAAACAGTTTTCTTAAGCTTAAAATACAATTTTGGGTAAAGTATAAAAAATTTTGTAGGCTTGCAAAAGCACTGCGAGTAAATCTCCGACGAACTGCAATTTCAGCAGATTCTCCGGATTTAATAATTCCATTTTTCCGTAAACATTTCATAACATAGAGTAAGAAGCGAATTTCGAGAGCGACATAAGATGAATTGAATTAAGGCGACCGAAAACTATTTGTAGGTGTAGTCTAGCACGACTTTTGAAATAAAACTCGGCGAAATGTCCGCAACTGCGACCTTGATGCAAAACGAGGCCGGGATCTTTCGATTACACCCGCGAAACATTTCTAATTTCGATTCGATTCGAGGCAATTCTGCAATTATTGATAGCTAGGTTTATCCATGGTAAACAGTACAACCCTTTAAACATAAGAAATATTACTCCAAATGTTTATTTAGGAGCTATTATTTTTCTTGTTCGAATATGTTAATCGTTCGCTTAGAGCAATCACAAGGAACGAGAGACACAAAAAATATCATTGATAACAACTCGAAGGCAACATTTTTATTTCTATTTTAGGCTTCTACTTAATGATCTTGAAAAAGTGATTGGCGACGCGTCGATCTTGATGCGACAATTTTATTCAAGTTGCTAAACAAAGCATTGTTTGAAAGGAAGTTAGTCAGGCACTAAAGATAGCCTTACTACACTTAAAACAAAACAACCCGCACAAAAATATAGTCTATTGAATCGAAAGAAAACGACCACCATACGAATTCGCGATCAGAGACAAATTTAGCAGTAATTCTTGTTGTAATCGACTTTCAGGCATACCGAGGTGTAGTTCAGAGAAGATTTGAAAAATAAATTATAAATTATTAAAAACTGCGAAAACTTGTTTCCATAAATTTCTGCGTCCCGTACTTTTAATCATCCTTTTCGCGGCCTCAAATACACGCCGAGTGACTAAACCTTTTATTAAAGAAGTAATTTAAGAAAAGATATTCGATAAAAGACCAAAGCGACCAGACGGACAAGGATAAAAAAAATATTGCCTAAACTTTACCACTGGTTTATTAGCTACGAGCTGTTAACACCTGCTGTAAGGGGACCGCAGAATATTTATCTGCCCACTAACATGAAGAGCGGAGTCCGCTCTGTTGACTAAAATACTTTAAGATAACATCCCAAAAGAACAGGAATCAGACAGATTTATAGCAGCATCTGGGACGAAAAGCAGCCCGTAACGTATATTTCTAAATTTCGAATATCGTGAGGAAGTTTAAAAGAGCTTTGACCCTTCAACGACATGGCAGATAAGTATCTAGTGGTGCTAATTCGCTTTCAGACGAAAAGCCCACTTCTCCAGCGTTGAATGGAGTAGAGGAAATTTATCTATTTCGTGGAAAGGTGTTTATTTGCAACACTCAGGCACTTAAAAGAAGGACAATAAACTGGAACGATCATCAAGTTATTAAAGCCCCGAAGGCGAAAGATTAGAGCCAGTTTAGTTTTGTCTCAGTCGCTCTCATGCGGAGATTTGTTTACGTGTTGATCATTGTTAGGGCTTTTAGTAAACACGTGCATATATACGAGTATTTCATTGGCTAACGGAAAGAAGTACAATCATTTTAATATTTTTGGTCGCAAAACAATCTAAACTTTCTTGCCGTCTCTATTTCAATTCTTTTTTTTTTTTTTTTGAAATAAGATCTTTTTGATTCGCTCTTTCGCCTCATGCGTTTACTAGAAAAATATGGACTTTCCGCAGCTCAAAGCTTTTCAATTTCTTCTTGATCAAGAGTACTCCAAGCGAAGTTTCCTTCCATCATAACCCAACGTGGTGTGTTTATTAATTCTTTCAAGATTTCAACCTCTTCAATCAGTGGTAATTACTTTCAGTAAGCAAAATCTCCGGTCCAGTCGGCTCTTTCAGCTCGATGTTAAAAATTTCTGTGGGCAGCAGTGTAAATCCATTTTAATTTACTCTTTTCCTTTCCGAAGCCGGTAATTTTGAACGAAGCAGTTTCAATTTCTGAAACTTCGCAGTGATGAGATTGCTCATTACAAAAAATTCCACATATAATTTTGGTATCATCGACAAGAATCCAGCATGCACTGAACTGAGCTCAGAAGACACAACATCAACAAATCACTTACCTCGGTCCATTTCAAGGTTAGTTCAGAAATTGCTTTGAAACGCTTAATTCATTATTTTTTTTATCCTGCTGCTCAATTTCTACTTTTTTACATTTTATTAAGTCTTTGATTCCCAATCATTTATCGAGCGAGCATATTCCGAGATTGATGATAAGTTTTTAAAAGGCTTTTTAGAACCTCAATTGAGAGCCATGGGGTGATGGCTATTACGTCTAATGATAAAAATTTTGGCTATTTTACGGCTAACAGTTGATTTTTTTCGGTTAGGAAAAATTTTACGGTTAGCTTTTTTTACGGCTAACGTTTAAAAATTGACAATATCTACGCCTAACGATTAATTTTTTTTTCGCCGTTTTACGGCCAACGGTCAACCCCATTGAGACCTTAATTAGGATCAAAAAGGCGTCAGAAAGCTATATGAAGTCCAATAACTTTCTAGTCTAACAGTTTAATTTGTTAGAAGCCAGTTGAGCTGTCTTCACATGGCACTTTTGCACAATGAAACTTCACATTTAAAACCTTAACATTAGGAACCTTTGCATATATAGGTTGTAGCCAGATTGGTTCCTTCACCCGCCATACAGTCCTATCAATACCATGACTTACCCTGACCTCGACAGTTTTGGCCCAACCAGTTTTGGAAATTTAAAGGACAAATAATTGCCCAAAGAATTAATCTAGTTTTATAATAAGTACCTTCTTGAAACTGAGTAAAATAAATGAGACGCAGATGCCATGGGGGGGAGGGGGGGGGGGGGGGTAAACTGAAGATGATTTTAAAAGACAGATCGCATCCGGGTGAACTTTTGAAAAACCCATGCCCGCGACCTTCTTGGGACGAAGAAGAAGTTCCTTTATATAATCTAGAGTGAGTTTAGTTCAGGTGTAAGACTCCCCTCAGCTTTAAGGACACAGCAGAATAAAGGGTCAGTGACGAAGAAAAACACAAATGAAGCAATGATGACAAAGGAGAAAACAAGGTTGGTCATGGATGGCAGGGGATGAAGAAGATTTAAACGGATTGCCAAAGAAAAAGTTCGACAAATTTACCCTGCACTGTCCAATAAAGGAAAAGTAAAAGATTTGTAGCCCTTTCTAAGCCTCATTTCTAAGGCTTGGAGAATATCCTTGTCTGTTAGTCACTACACGTCTGTTTGCAAGTAATTATTTCTTCGTATGAATTATGCGTGGCCAATTTTAGTTTTATAGGTAGGTCATTTTTAACGGAATTAAGCCTTGCGTGATTTGCGCCTAAAATCATCCCAGCAGTTCGGGTTTTAGGTGCTGAGAGCCCCCCTGTCGTTCAGGAAATTGAGTTAATGCCAGTCCCCCTTGGAAAACCACAGGGAGGTCAAATTAAGCATAATCACATTACAGAAATTAAACAGTGATTACAAAGAGTGCTTTGTTTGGATGCAACGCAGGGTTAACTATGCGTTTAGTAGGAGACAACGACCCACTTATCTCTCAAAAACGTTAGAAAATTTAAAAATGGCGTCGTTGCTAAATCACAAAATCACTAGTTGACTCCATTGTATTAACCCTTTACACCCTAACATCAGGATGCATATTCTCCCAACTGTTCTCTGCTCATTTCCTAAGGTGTTGACAAGAAGAATGTGTTTAACAATCAATAACTTCTTCAGTTGGTGATCATTTCCTCTATACTCCTGACTGTAATGTTTGATTCAGGGGTGATATAGGCGTTCAAAGAGTTCAAGCTCACATGCATACATTGAAAACGAAATGTGCCTTGGTCCACAAAACTTTGTCTAAACTCACAAAAAAGGGAGCACAAAAATGTTTCCATTTCTGACCATCACGTCAACGTTTCACCATTAAGCCCGCCCGTCCAAACTGGAATGACCACAAAACTGACACCGTTTGGTTTTTGGACCGGCGAATAGCCAAATTAAGCAGGGTGAGAAAAACGCTGTTTGGAATAGCAAGGACGGGACTTAACATATATGATGCTGGCAAGTCCATTAAGGATTTAAAAAAACTCTACGATTTTCATAGAGTATAATAGACAAGTTTAAATGAAAGGAATAGATCATGACGGATGCATGACATAACAAATGGTTGATCCATCACGATTGGCTGTCAGTGATAACTGAAGTTTTTCCCCTCAATATTGATTTTGGCTCAACTGGGCCTTTCTTTTTAGATTTCTTTCCAACATCGGTGTGAAAAAAAAAATGCAAAACAGAGTATTAACGAATCGTTCAGCAAGCAGAGGATCCGTTATTTGTTTAGCAATTTTCATTCTTTCATTTTGTGATCAGGTGGCAACAGGTGAGTGAGAGTTTGAAGCAGGTTCAGTTTTATTATTGTTTTTTATAACCCTGCCGGTCAAAGTCTCATTTAAAGAGATCTTTTGGTGGCGAGCTAACACTAATACAACAATGGAGGTTATGTTCATGGGCATTAATATGTTTTGGGTCCGACTCTGAGTCATTTTAGCTCGAGTTTGTATGAGCAGGTATTTTTAAGCTATTGGATTACTCAATAACATCAAAATATTATGGATTGTCTCAAGAGGAGCCTCCTTAATTGTGCGAGCGATCTCGGATTTGCCATGTAGCACATTATACTAAACCCCCCACAGTTTAATATCGTTATGCATATCCTCCATACGGTTCTCTACAAATTTCCTGGGCAATGAGAAAGGGAGATTCCGTGAACAATTAACAGATTCTTTAGTTGATCATCATGAACTTTATGTGTGATTCAGATTTTACACTGAAGGGAGAAATGAGATGCTAGTCACTCTTAGGAACAGAAGACTTAAGTCAGAATCGTGTTCTAGTAAAAGAGATTCTTGTTTACAGCTAATTGATTCATTTTCAATCGAAGAGCTACTTATTGTCCATGCCAGCTCCGAAAGCAAAGAGTACTGGGTACCACGGGAACAGGTGACGCTTGGTGTTCAGGACAGTGACACGATTAAGTACCTGATGGACCAGCTGTGTACCATTTTCCACAGGTCACGTAAAATGGCCCTTCATAAGGAAAATTACCCGTGTAGGAGCCGGTCAAATTCCCTCATGTTGTTTAATCCGGTGACTAAAGCGGAGTACAGATTTGTGAATACCACGCTTAAACAGAATAAGATAAGGAATGGGACGCGGCTGTACTTATATTACTCCTGAATAAACTACACTGCGATGTAAGAATCTTACAGTGCCATAAAAAAGTTATCCTCAAATTAAGCACGGACAATTTGCTAAAGTTAAAACAGCGAGAATATACCACATCTCGCCTTGGGCGCTTCCAATGCGTAGCTTTTAGGAGAGGAAACTCAGAACATACTCTGCGCATATAAAGTCCAAAACTCGCCTGACAACGGTCACCTTCCAAACCGACTTGTAATGGTCTGTGAACTGAAGTCAAGTACCAAACATAATGATTGTTACAAAGACAACAGTTGTAATTTTTTAAACTTTTCTATCTCAGAAGTGATGAACATGTAACTTCTCTTTACATCCATACATTATCCAGCAAACGAGTAATAAGAATACTCAAAAATATCAGGTAGAAGTTCTCTTGATCTAGCACCAAATTCTCGTAACTAATTTACAAGGACATGTGTAGCGGCAAGAGGGGAGAATTATCAATCAGATCTTGGGAGTTGAACAGTTGAAAGTAAAGGAAAGGGATAGAAAAGGAATTTTTAAGTCAGCATAGAATTCCTTTTTTGTGATGTAGAATTCAATCATTTTGTTATCAGGTAGGGTGATAGTTTTATCGTTCAGAACACGATTTTTTTTAAACCGTCAAGAAGCTCGATTAAGGCCAAACACTTCCATAAACGAAATTCAGATCTCTAATTTTCTGCATAAAGCTCCCTAAGTCCTTTAAAATTCCACACACAAGGTTAGTCCGATTTCAAGTTTACAGCCGTGTTTAAATTAATCTTACTTTTTTACACCCAAAGTACTTACTATCATTTTGTATCTGTTACTCTTTTGAGTCTTAACTGAAGGAATGTTATGTATACTACGATATGACCTACTGCAGCACTCGAAATAAAACTTTTTAACTACTGTATTCACATTAACAAAGTTTATTAGACGGCCAAATTTATATACATTACACATTTTTTTGTAACCACTTAAAAGGAAAGAAAAAACGTTTCGTTTTTCTTCACTCGATACTGGAATAGCTTCGAGCTTAAAGTGATTTCAACAAGGTAACCATAGCGACGCTATGTCGCTTCGCAACGTATCCAGCCAAAATCGCGGGCTCATTAAGGAGTGTTCTGGGCTTCAAACCATAATGGTGGACACCAAAAGATCGGGAGTTCGAACAGAACTAAAAAGACCTCCACCTGTTTGCAGCATAAGTAGTGATAATCAAACTGAGTTTCTGCCAATATCACATTCTTTGTTTTTGGATCCTTAAAAGAGTACAACAATCCCTTACAAGTCTTACAATGATCTTACACTCCGTTTCCCTTGGTTGCTGGCTGGAAACGCTGACATCAACCATCGCGGGGCAAAATAAAGAAGTATATATACAATGGTTTCCAGGGTAGACCCTTGCCATATACCTTCTAATGGATCCTTGTAAGTTCTTCAACAACTTTCACGAGATCTTCCACAGTACACTCTTTCTTCATACCACTACCATCATCAATCTGTTGACAAGGAGAAATTGAACCAATATGCACAAGACGGTTCTCTCCTGTAGAAGGCTAAGGTCAAATTTTAACAAATGCCAGGTAGTCCATATACCAGTTTCTTTAGGAGTACTGTGTGATAGTGTACTCTGATTGACCAGGTAAGTGTAGTCCTGAGAAGGACTGTTGTCGGTAGTAGTGACAGACGTTTCGACAACCTGAGCGGAAGTCATCATCACCGTCAAGTCAATAGTTGTTGTCAGTCGAAAGTCAGCTTCGTTGTAAACTGATTGGTCAGTTTAGCCATGATGTAATGGGCTGTAAGACTCGAGGGGCGTAAGTCGGTCGTGATTGGTCAGTTTCGATCCGTCGGTAAAGTTAGGTCGTTCTATTCAGTTCGTCTATGATGGTGATATCGTGAAGAGGAGTACCATATTTCTAACCCCCCCCCCAAAAGGGAAGCTAATCCATCGCATGTTAAGGGCAGAGGGGGAGGGGGGGCCCCCGGTAGTCGGTTAAAATTGTTCCCTCCCAATTATATTCTAACACTTAGAAGACACACTTCCACTTACAGCCTTAAAATTTCATTAGTCGCACATATTCTTTCTGTGCTTAAAACTCTTTCAAAGAAAATTTTTTTCGGTGTAGACAAAACGTATGTAAAAATATCAGCAGCACCCAGCAATGCCTGACAAAACTTACTTGTAGTCCCGAGGCTACCTCCTCCATACTGGACCGCGGTAGGTCTAGGAAACTTTCGATTAAATCTCCGTCCACGAAGCCGGTGGCAGGCTCAACTCTCCGTTCGTTGGAAAAACAGCGCCAGGTAAGAAGTAGTAAAGGAAGCAATGCCTATCCTTAATTTTTTCTTTTTTTTTGAACACCAACAGTGATAAAATCATATTTAATTCTTATTGAATATGTAGATATAATACTCAACAATGATGCAAACGCTCCCACAAGAGCTGGGTGACTACACAACTGCAGCTTAACATGGAGAAACTGAGAGTGCTGCTGCTCCCTTAAAATCAGGGAATGCACGTCCCTAACATGTTAAACCCAGCAGGTTTCTCTAACACTTGCTCATAATCGACAGAACTGAGTAATGTCTGCGCATGTCAGAAATACGCCTTCATACGACATAGCAACTGTATGTATCAATTAATTTGGTGGTGATTTTAAAAATGTTGAATGCCTTCATATCCTTCATCCACTGAAACCGCTCTATACAAACTTAAACAGACTTCCACTAAGAACCACCCAGCTTGCATATCGACGTCATTCTTGCCCAACCTACATAAAAAAGTTAGCATAACCTCTCTGCTTGCGTCTTAACTTAGGTAGAAAACCAGCTCCCTTTAGCAATGATTCAAAATTCCGCCATCTTAGTCTGATATTGTTATAATTTGCAGCGTGAGTCCGCGAAATTCCTGACATGCGTCGATGTTTTTCAGCTGTGTCCTTACGGCCATGTTCTGGTTAGAAGTTATTTCTGGGTATCAAGCATCGGAAACAGGTGTAAAGGATATAAGCTGTGGTCAATCTTTCCGACGCTCTTGATAACTTTGCTGAGTTTCCCTTGGACTTGCGTCAAAAAAGCACTCAGTTCCTGAGGTAATTGAGCGACGATTCCTGTGTGTTTACATCACAGACATATCAAATGATTAGAAAGGTAAAGAGAACATCGCCCTCTGACATTGCGATGGATGAAGCCTGAAAGGGACGCTGGGATATTTACGAGGTCCCAGGTCTGAGTCAAACTCAAATATCTCGGAACTTCCTTAGGCTTCGACCCAGATAAGGTGGAGAAAATTTAATTCAATTCGTGCAAACTCCTCGTAAACGATATAAAGGAAGCCTGTGAAATAGTAATCGTTCAAGCGCCGTTTTTAACCGTAACGTACGACACCGGTACAACCTCCTCAAATCTTAAGTGAAAATCGCAAATCTGAACCTGGTTTAAAATTCTTTAACTGACAGGATCTGAACTGCAATTGTCTCTCCTGGCTGCTAAAAATTTCCTTAACTTAAAAATGAGACTTTGGTATCATATCAAAAGCACCCTCAAGCGTATTCATTGTCTATACTCATCACTATTTTGCAGGATAGTGCCTTAGTAATGTTTGGAGAAGTTCCAGGTTAATCAAGTCTGGAAATGAGAGGGTTACGCTGGAAAAGGAACGGTCAAGAAAACAAATTCTCACCAATTGTTCCATTGACGGTTCCAAAAAGGACGCAGCCTTGGAAAGGGGTCGACGCTTCACCAGGATGTTCCATGACAAGAGAACCTTTGTGAGGGTGAATGAAACAAATTTTGTCAGTACGTTAAAATAATTTTTTCAATTTTTTGTGACCAAAAGCGGTGTGCAAAAAGGGCCAGCCACTTTGTCTCTTTAGTCCCTACCAGGATAATTGTAAACGCACCGTGTCTAAAGACGTTAACAAACTCGCCAAGATGAAACTGCCCAGCCTCCTGAAGATACGATCTGTCATCATCAGCTGCGGAGCCGCTGTCCTTTTGGCAGGTGAACAGGTTAAAAGAGTTTTCAGCCCCAAGGAACGTATCATCGTCTAGGATCTCTACTGCTGTCATCCAGTTTGGACTATAGTCATGCGCAATCTGATCACGAAAAAACGAGACTCGTGAAGTGAGCTTTTACACGAACGACATCGACGAGCTCTTATGGACGCAAAACGTGTTCTATCATAAATAAAAATAAGCTTTGGTCTGAATGCATCTCAATATGCCAATTCCGACTTACCTTTGGCCAACTTCTCGATAACGAGGCCTAGTGTTCACCAATTTGTATGAAAATTAGTTTAATTTGTACGTGAATGAAAACTTATAATCATGAGACAGGACGAGCACCAGGACTCGCTTTGAAAAAAAAAGGGCCAAAGGTAATTCGGAAATGGGCTATTAATTGTCATAATCACACAAGAAGTAAAAAGAAAAAGGTAAATTTAGCTGCCTGGTTAAGTACAAGATAACGGTAGCCAGCAACTCTCAATTAAATTTTGTTCTGCATCTGATTGGTTGAAGAGGTGACGCGGGTCTCCTAGACCAATCACAGATCGCAGTAAGAAATCAATGCAATCTAGAATTGATTTCAACGCTTAACTGAAAATTGTTCAACCAGTGCGTGACACAAGAAAACATGTCACATATGTATAGTTTCAGGAAGCAAAGCACTAAATGAATGAAATAGGTTCTTATTACACGAACTCTTACCAAAAAAATGTAATTATCATAATACGAACGCTATTCCTATTCCTTGATAATCTAAAGCACGTTGATGTTATCAGTCACCTCTTCTAGACTTCCCTCCATTGCTTTGTAAGTTAACAGTGTCATGGATCTCATTAAGTCACCCACCTGAAAAAAAAAATAGAAAATACTTTGAAACTAGAACAACGAAAGGAACGAAGACAATTTACAGTTAACCTTTAGTGAACTAGTCAAAATTTTAATTGAGATTTTCTTTGAAACGGAGTTTGTTTCATGTTCTGCAGGGTGATTAAAAACCCTTATTACTGCTATAAGTACAGTAACACCTAAAATGCTGCTTTACCAACTTACCAAAATAAAATCCCCTTTAGACTTGAGATACAAAGCCAAGATGTTGTTCAAAAAGCTGCATTCCACACGTAATTCTTTGTCAGCCGTCCACTCGTATATACTGACCTGTTGAAACGAGTAAAATCACTGGCTGCGTACCTAAAGGACATCCACAGTCTCATCTCAAGTAACCATACTTAAACCAGGCTGTAGTTCACATAACTTCATTACTTGGTGTCAATTTTTGATTCCGAATGCACTCCTTAATGAGAAGAAAAGGAGGGACGGGGGGAGGAGAAGGGAGAAGGGAGAATGGAGGAAGGAAGGGGGGGAGGGAGAGAGGAGGAAAGGGAGGGGAGGGTTATGGAGGAAGGGGGAGGGAGTGCGTATGGGAACGAGAAAGAGAAAACGTTTGTTTTGATACATGAGTTCTCGTCAGCTAACCGTGCTGTTAATGCCGGCCAAGACTTTTCCGTTAAATTCCACCAGTGAGTACACGGCACCTTTGACTTCTTTATCAGCGACTTGGACAAGTTTACCTTGAAAACAAAAACAAAAAAAATCATTCAGATTATCGAAGGCTTTGATGGTGTTCTTAAAAGTACTTTGAAACTGCCTTTCAATAAAAAAAAAAAAACCCATCCTTAAACCAAACTGACTGTCTGTCTGTCTGACTGACTTACTGACTAACCCACCGACTGGCTGGCTGGCTGGCTGGCTGGCTGGCTGGCTGGCTGGCTGGCTTGCTGACACGACCTAACTGACTGAACAACAGACTGAATTGACTATCTAACTATCTGACAATCTGACAAACTGACTGACAGACTAACTGGCTAATTGACTTTCGAAAACCATCATCACCTTCCAAGAGCTGAAATAAAATCAAACGTCCCGTCTTTGGCTCAGCTTCCTCGGGGAAGACATACGCAGTGCCAACGCAGTAATACGTATTGGACGTTCCACTCGAGTAGGAGCTGTTAGGGTCACCAGATAGCGTGCAAGAGATCAGGCTTGTAGCACACTCATGATCTTGAAGATCGTGAGCATGAGTCACTGATGAGAGGAGAACAAAGATAAACTTTAATATGTGAAAATTGTCACGAAGTTTCTCCCTGAAGGAAAACGTTGGTGATTCACCCCCATTTATACCTTAAGTGCTTTTGAATTGATTTAGGAAGAAAATAGGTTTTAAAACTCCCAATAACCGCTTTTTGGTCTTACTGGCGGCATCAAGGGTCGAAACACGTACTCTTAGAGGGAGTGAAGAATCTTCAAAACCGTGCAACACGAGAAATAATAAAAACAAAGTTGCTCATGGAATAATATTCATACACAGAGAACGCCAAAACCAAAGAGCAAACCAAATGAGAAAAAATCTATCAACGAAGAACAAAAACAGAAAATAAAAGAATATAGAAAATTATTCACATAAATATTCGAACAAAGAACAATTTCCTGCCGCCAGCCCTTAATGGAGAAACAATTCTGGCCCTAAGTGTTTCCTGAAGAAGTCATTACCTTCAAATGTGTGTTGGTCAATGATCAACAAACTGCTTCTCTCCACCTCGTCACCAAATGTTATGCCGTCTGCCACACCCCTACCACCGGCTGAACTTCCGGCGGAAGTGCCCGGCATGCCTGCTGACACACTGGTCGTTATGTTCTGAGCCATAGTGCTCGCGCTGGGGTGGAGGGGTCGAGTTGTATTTGACGCCGGATCCAGGACCTCTACTCGCATTGAGATTACACCAAATGTTTGTGTGGACTCTTGGTAAGCAATACGCCTGAAGAAAACACAAGCAGTACGTGATGGATGGTACCCCCCAAGGATACGATAAACAAGCTTGCATATCAGAGAACCTAGTTAGTTTCCGAGCCATGTTTGATTTCCGTAAATCGGCACCTTGGGAAATGCATAGAGAACAGTATGAAGAATGTGTATATTGATGTTTGAGCGTAAAGGGTTCAGATCAAACCACTATTATCGAAATACGCACAAACGACAGAACATTGATACAAGCTGGATTACAAGCCAGATATACCGATTTAATTTGATGTAAAGGAAAGGTAAGGTTCACCCTCTAACAGCCACGAGGGTCAGAGTAGCGTTCGTCTTTTCCTTTCATGATCTGCAGCCATTTTTTCACAAGATGCTTCTTCCACAAAAGAGGATTATTGTGTGACCACCTTTAGGAATTCCTCGCTACATTTTGATAGCACATACGCTGTAACCCTTAACTACCAGCAGTGATTAACATGTAACTTCTCCCTATAATATCCATACATCATCCAGCAAACAGGTAATGAGAACACTCAAACATATCAGGAAGGAGTTGTTATCTTGATCTAACACCAAATTCTTGTAACTAATTTACATGAGAATGTTTAGCAGCTAGGAGGGAGAATTGTCAATCACATCTTAAAAGTTGAAGGCTTAAGCTCGCTGTACTATACCTGGGTGTTTCTCCCAATGGAACAGTCCGAATGTGAAGTTTTTGGATTTCATCAATTGTTCCTATTGTTAACGCTCCTTCGCTAGCCACAGCAAGACTATGAAGCAGAGGAAAGAACTCTCAAAATTTCTGCATCGAAATATCCCATTAAAACATAACAATTTATTACAAACCACAGAGCATCATTAAAGAGGGGGGAGGGGGAGTGCAGGGAGGCCAGGCATCCCTCAGGGGACCTCTCTTATATCCGACACTCCTCAATGCAGTTCAAATGAAGAAAACTTTTAAGGGAAGCAGCGTGCAGAATGCCTGGACATCATTAATTCTTCATAAGCACTGAAGCGGGAAATTTGAATGCGATCGCACCTTGAAAGCCCAGAATAAGAGAGAACGAGCGCAGCACTGTTGATGAAACTCGCTTTCTTGATTGTCAGAAGAAATAAGTGAGAAACCCAAGGACGTGTTTTTTAAGAGGAAGAGTTTATCTTTAATGAAAGCTTATCAAGAGGAAGTTTAGGAAAGTATAAGGACTATTCCAAAACCTTTGAAAATGACGAAAAAAAAAGGACATTTTTAGTATGAAGGCCGATTTCAAAAGCGATTTTTTTTAAAACTCAGTCCAGCTTCCAAAAAACCCAGGAACGGGAAATGGGAACGGGAAGATGGATCTCTCCTGAAACGGAAACTTTTAAGAGCTTATGCTACGCGGAAATCCACTATAACAGTTGTCAATTGAACCAATGTAAATCTAGACGAGAATCTATACCTGTCTGGGAATCCCTCGGAGTTCAGTGGACACATATAATTCACCTCCTGATGGCGGAATATGAGATCAGCATTAAAACAGCGCAAGAAGGAATAATAGTTCTGAGTCTAACCATATTTTGTAAAGAAACTTTCATGCATGGTCAAGCTTTAAGTAAAAAATCTCATTCTGAGATTGACGTGCAAAAACACTTTTGTTACATACAACACATATTTCATTTCGGAGATTTCAGCACGTTTTCAGCTTCAGATTCTTTGCCAACCCTCATGATACGCGAGTAATTAACTCTTTCGCTGCGATCGTTTGATTTTACCCTAGGACATAGGATCCACGATGCGTAGAACTCTGAAGGTTCCTGTTTATAGCACATGTATCGTAGTGTAATAAGCAGACCATACACAAACCTTTAGATTAACGTTGGAGAACACAAGTTTGTGATTACTGGAATAGATCACTGTGGGCCGATCAGAGCAGGCGAACACATTTGTTGTGGACAGTGACTTGAATGTTCTAAGCATTGTAGGCTGTGTGCCGAGGGTTACTTTCTTCCTCTCAGACAAAGATCCTACAAAAGCCAAATAACTAAATAAACATTGCGTGTGTAAAACGCTTTATATGTATGTGTCTGAATTAGGAAAAAAAAGAATTCCCAGGAGGAAACTCATTCATTAAATGATAGTGGTACTCCTGCCCCAAAAGAGCCCAAAAGTCTCCTTTTCTAGACGTGGCCGAAAGTCACGTCCAACCCTTTGGGTAAATAATTGTTTGAGAAAAACAAAAAAACCCAAAAAATCCAAAAACAAATTAACTGGCACTGGCAATAATAGTGCTGGTAGACAAGAATTTTTCGAAGTTAATGTCATTTTTCAGATCGATAACCTCCACGACCCTGATAACCAACTACCTCAACAATAGCAGCGACAATTTTAGGATCGAGCGCACGCTTCGAAACCACTACAGAAATGTAAATCCCTTAAGGTAAGACAAGCATCCATCATTTGTAAAGGTGTGTACCCTCATACGAAGGAACGCACCCCCTCCTCCCCCTCCCCCCTCCCTCCCAAGCGCCCTCCTCGAGCCATGAACCGCTCTTTAGAGCAAGTATGCAGGGCTCCAAGTTCCCTCTCTCAAATTCAAAAACTCGCCTTTTGGCGTCCTACAACTGTAAATGGTCGCCATAGCAAAAAAAATATCGTCATATCAATAAAGAACTCTTTATGTTGTATTATTGGCGTATGTGTGTATTGGCGTATGTACGTATAATTCTCTCTTTCAAACCTGTCTTTGGATATTCGCCGAAATTTTAGTCGCCAAATGTTTTTTACTCGCCATGGCGACCCAAACGGTCGCAACTTGGAGCGCTGGTATGTTATGGTGCATTAAGCCGGAATTTGGAGCAAAGAAAAAGATTGTAATGAAAAAATAAAATAAATTGCTGAGCCTTAAGCCGGCTACGTTATAATCTTAAATGGGAAATGGAGCGTGTATTATTTGGACACAGGAACAAAAAACTCAAAATCTGCAATATTTATCTGTACTGCCACTTACGAATACATAACAACACAAACGGCGCATGAAAAACTAAAGAGTAAATAAATGTTATGACCTGGGTACCCAAAATAACCGAAGAGTCAAACTAGTTGGGTGCCCATAAACCTCAGTTAAGACCAAACACCTTCAACAGTGTGTATTAAGTACGAATGGATTATGTACAAAAGACATTTATATCACTGAAAAAATGAAGATGATTCCATAAATACCAGTGTTTGGATCCATGGTGAAATAAAACAAGGTTCCATCTCCCAAAGCACAGAGAAGGTAATGAATACCCTCAAAAGATGTCTTGAGTATGGAGCGAGGAATTATTTCTGAAAGATAAATCATTTAAAATTAATCAGTGTGAACTGTTAATTAACAAGACCCCTGGAAGCGTTGACGTGGAATGTGTTGGTCGTTATCTACGGCCACTCTGATTTTACGAGTAAAAATAAATAATAAATTCATGCCTAACTCTTTGAAGTACAGGAATGAAAACTAAAAATAAAGACAACAACAACAAAGAAAAGAACACAGGATATCATGTGTAGTCACCCATCCCAGTAGTAACCCCAGCCAACATGGCACGAGAAACCCAAGCGCGTGGCTAGTTTCCATATCTGACTTGGACGACACTCAAGCGAATTTTAACGTAGTCTACCACAGGCGTTTCACGTAACACAGAATGACGAACGGTTTTTAAAAATGACCTATTTGAAATCCAATTCTCACCTCCTCCCAGCATTTCAACAAACAGTTGTTCACAGCCTGGCAGTTTTAGAACTCTCACTGAAATGTCCGTCCACAGTCCTACTGCTACTAACTGAGCTCTGGTGTCAGAATCATCTGTGAAAACAATAATAAGAAAACAATGCTAGGAGCCGCCGATAACATGGAGAAAGTTTTTTACTGGGTCCTCTCTCTGAGAAAGAAACTTTGGATCAATGCCAGTCTCGAGCAACTGCGCACATACCACCCTCCCCTAACCCAACATCAACCCTGACTTGTTATCAATTGACTGCTGTTGGGTTAAGGGAGGGGTAGGTGAGCAGTTGCCAAGATACAGACATTGATCCGCTACTTCATTAGAATCTATGTCACACCCGATAAAATGGTTGTCTCTATCGTTTATGGGCACCCAAAACCTTATGCATGGTTATTAAACATGAAATAAGTAATGCTGGTTTCATTTATCAAATTACGTGCAATAAAAATGTCGCAGTGGTGCAGTTCTAAGGAGAGACCTTTGGATGAACTTAACCCTTTACACCCTAACATCAGTATGTATATTCTCCACACTGGTCTTCATACATTTCCTAAGGTACTGACAAGGAGAATTTGTTTACTAATCAAAGGCTTCTTTCGTTGTTGATCATTTCCTTTATTCTCATGACTTGAACGTGTGATTCAGGGCTGATATTGTGGGGAGAAATTTGATGCATCTCTGCATCACAGTTCTTTTCTTTAACTTTGTTTGTTTGTTTTTTTGGATATAAACCTCTTTCAAAATAGTGGACATGATAACTATTCTATTCTAAGCATGCAAAAAAGACCCTTCCTAATCTCGCTTTTGAGAGTTTTAAAATTCTTTTGATTGATTCTACACATCATGACGAGGCTAAATAGGTCAATTTAAATGCACACTTAAGACTAATGATTAAGCCTGGTATTCATGAGAGAGGTCCATTGAAGACGATTTTTAATGTTGATAATTCAATTTCCAAAAGCTAGTGGCTCTGGTCAAAAAGCCATAAACCAATTAATTCAAACTATCAACATATACTTTTAAAAAATCCTTACAAGTTGGTGTGATATCCAGACAAGCAACTTCGTGTTCAAGTGTTGTGTGGCTGAAAGAAAAAAAAAAAAAAAAAGATCAGCGGAACCAGCTGATATGCAGGGCAACTTTTTCATCACAATGGCCCTGTGGTTACCAACATACATGTACATATAGCTCTGAAAGTCTCCTGGGATCCCTGCATCAACTAAGAAAGAGGAGCTATGACAGGATTGCAGTCAGCTAGTCCACCATTACATTTAGCCACCAAATTTCTGCTACCTTCTCTCGATCGACGAAGGGTTTCGAATCGCCATACAATGCTTTGCAAACCTCTTTAGGTATGCAGATGACGGACCGTCGGCTCTCTGTCGGCTGCTTGTAGGCCAACAGGAGTGCTTAAAACTGTTGGCCGACAGTCAACCGTCAGTCCACTGACATCTGACCGACTGCCGACCACATGTTGGCCGACAGGTGTGCTTAATACTATTGGCCGACAGTCGGCCGATTTCTAGGAGTTGTTCTTTTCAATTACCATGAAAGAAGAAATACTAACAGAAAATAGACGAGGACTGCACATGTATGAATCACCTGATCAGATTGAGGTTTCCTGCAATTATCTCCAGATAATACAATTCACAACCCACGGCCAGCACAAGCTGTCCAGAGTTGCACGCACAGACACTGATGTTCTTGCCACCAGGATGTCGCCATTCACTGAATAACAAAATTTAGTGAGCCATTAGTCATCAAATAATCTTTACTTCTTGACGTATTTGTCTCCTTTGCGCTAACTGAGGACATCATAAATTCGATAAATAAATAAACAAAGGAATTGTAATACAAATTACCAAAATTAAGATTACCAACTTATGAGAGCCCCATGAGTTAGGATATTTCTATTAACAAAGCAAATTGGAGCAGAAACCGCTGAGAAATAATCGTGTTGAGTGACAGACAGGAGGAAAAGTCAGTTCAATTACCAAGGAATGATGGATACGTGTACTAAATACATCTCTCAGTTGGTACCTGCGCAATTATTGGTCAATTAAGCAGGCCGTATTTCACTGTACGGCCCGCTAGATTCGAAAGTTTGTTTGAATTGAAATCTTGCCTCTCTATGGCTCGCGCGCTTTCATGCTTGGGCCATAAAACCAAGCAGAAAAAAAAATCTTGATCGGTTACATTAACTACGGACCTTGAATTCAGTTAGGAAGTGGTATGCGTAGAAGTACAGAAGTTATGGCATCATAGCTTCTGTCAAACTCAAACAGCCATTGATATTGGGAACAAGAATACTGTTCAATGTGCACAGTTCTGTTCAACGTGATATACTCTTTGTAGGGTTTTACTATTCGACACTGTGTGTTAAGTAAATTATTACTATATTTATTTTTGTATTAAGAATGGATTTCAACTACTCCTTGCTATTGCTGCGTACCAAACAAGTTCCCTGGTCTCACAATTCACAAGACGCACTGACAATGTTGTAACCTGCAAGGAATAATGGACACGTCAATATGATAAAACTCTAGAATCTGCACAGGTTCCTATTTTGAATCCCAGCACTTGACAACTTAATTATAATGTTTTTTAAGAGAAAACCAGAAGCAAAGCAGAAATTAGTCATCAGCTGCATGGCAATTAATGCTTGCAGTATGCAGCTGTTTCAAGATAGGTTGTCAAAAAAAGGGACATATTCAGCGCATATCAAAATCTCGAAAGTTAATTTGGGTATCCAGTAATCAATGCATTTCAATAAGTCAAATAAATAAAGAAATTCATCAAACCTGCAATGCCTCGTTCCTATAGCAACATTTTCTCAGATTTCCCTGAAATCTAGAGGTCTTCGAGCTGTGACCTGAAAACTACCCTTAGTACCTTTTGGGGTTGTCATATGTAATTTAACCCTCCATTTTTTAATTTTTCAACAACCTTTCTTGAAAAAGCTGCACACAGTATCTTGCAGTTGTACAGGTCATGCCATTTATACATTATACTTCTATTAACAATAAGAACTTGAATTCAACTAAACAACTGGTGTTAATATCAAAGTCATGAAAACCCCTGATAAATTATTCTCTTGTCAAGCATGTGTGCTGATATTGACCTCTTCATTCCAAGATCTAAAGATCAATTATCTTCAGTGTCTGTAATACATTTCTTTTTATTTGAGCTCCCAGAATTTGGTGTTAAATCAAGCAATATCCTCTGATTAATATTATCTCTCTTTCCAGCACATTTCTACATAAAAATGTTAAGGTATTGTGGGGAAAATCCCTCTTTGGTCATTCCTGGGAAAGAAGGTTTCAAGTTGAAGACACACCTGGATGATTTGATCTCCTGAAACATTTCCACAAAAGTACGTCTGTTGATCATCATCAAAACCTGGAATCTCTGTCTCTTCAACTTCTTCACCAGCAAGGGCTAAAATTCTGTGAAAAATGCAATTGGATAAAATTAATAAAAATAATGAAAAAAATGAACAACTGACATAAAAATGGGAACAACAATGGTGTGGTCAGCATCATTTTAGCCTGCAGCAAGTTGGGCCTTCATTGTTAGCCCTGCAGCTCCAGCATTTCTTCACCTGCTGGTATGTTTACCCTGACATCCTGATGAAAACTGCACAATGCACAAACATGTACATGTGTCGAGAGCATTTACACCACTGGTAACAATTTTTTTGCTATCAAACCAGAGCATGAATAACCGATTACTTTACCTGCTCTGGCCAACAAAAGATAGGAGCAGCGCATCATCAAAGTTTTTGGCTGTCTTTTGTAATCTTAGGGGCCAGATACCTAAAGTATCGAAAGAACAAAGTACATGTATGTGTAAAAGACACATATTAAGCAATAGAAGCAGTAGGGTAGCCTGTGTGAGATGTCTTGTCAAATGCATGTTGGAAATAGGGAATTTGCAGAATAATCAATTCAATTTGTACTTGTGCCATAACTCTGATGAAGGGCTTATGATCAAAATGTGAAAACTCTCTGCAGTGGCCAATTTAGAGTATCAAGTCAGTTGATAAAACCTAGTATTCTTGCTATACCTGCTACTGACACAGCATCACAGTGTCTTTGGAAACATACCCCACCCACACAGTACTGAAGTTTCTTAGCTAATAAAAATGATGCATTTCTGATGGGCTGAAAAGGAGTGCATTTTCATGTAACATGAATGCAAAGTTGTAACACAAATGCAAAGTACAAATAGCTTGAATGCACGCTGTCAAAATTCGTCTGTCCTGACTTTTTGTGATTTTTTTCATGTACATTATAGGTAAGAAAAAAATTGGATTTCCCTTGCAATTTCATGTAATAACATGTATTTTCAAAGACTACACATTGCACTCACCTGTAATTTTGTTGTCTTTGAATAATTCACTTGTGCTTATCAACACCAAATTGCGCTCAAAATCATGTTATTACCTACACAAATGTACCCTCTTTACACCTCATTATTAATTTTCCTGAATAAAAATGAATCACTAACCCATAATGCCAACAAGGTCTGATATGGTGGCATGCTCATGAATACCAATCCCATTCCTTATTATTCTTAATGAGCCTTCCTTCAGTGCACCAGAACATGTCACCAGCTGTGTGAAATAGAAAGGAATGATAGGAAAAGGAAAAATTCACCACTGGAACAAGTTTTACATTTATTTAGAACATTGAAATTGTGTATACTGTCTCTCGAGGTTCAAACTTTTCTTTTTAACAAAATTTCAAACCACTTCAATTTTTTACAAAATTGTTAAAATAAATTATGGTTTTTAGGTCTTTGTAATCATGTCCTAGATCTTTCAGGGCAAAAGTTCACTGTTCTAGGAGGTATCAAAATGTCCTGTTACTGACTTATGGAAGGCACATTTCAATCTATCATGTTTGTTTCTGATGTGAATGGCTGTTACAATGATGAAGGACAGCAGCTTGAAATGAAAATTAAAAATGAGATTGGCCCATTAACCTTGAGTTTGCATGTCTTTGAAAAGTAAATTGTGTTAAAGCATGCTTCTCATCTGTCAGGCTGAGGTTGATATTCACAAAGAAGGTAAAAATTTATACTTGATAGAATCTACCTGTCCCTGTCCTTGTCTTTCCAAGTCAACTACCACCATGTCTACAATAGGACCAAGGTTGGTGAATGTCTCCATCACATGAACATGTGAGCCATTCTCATTTGTTTCTGTGTTGAGCTAATAAAAAGGAATAAAAGGTACAATCAGGAAAATATTTGAATTCACCATATCCAGATCTCAGCAGTTTCATGTTCGAGCACCCTACATGACCACTACAGGTATCTATGGTACAAAAATCTGTGAATCTGAGGTCTGAGCACTCATCAGAGGGTTTTTCTTCCTATCTGTCACACTTGTATAGCAACCTTATTAATGCTCTGACTAACTCACTGACTGACTGACTCACTCACTCACTCACTCACTCACTCACTGGATGACTGACTGACTGACTGATTGGCTGACCAACTGACTGGCTGGCTGGCTAACTGGCTGGCTGGCTGGCCTATTGACTGGCTGGCTGGCCTATTGACTGGCTGACTGACCAACCAACTGACTGATGCTTAGATCACTTTTTTGAATGGCATACTAGCTGATACCATTGCAACAATTGCATTACACATGTATATGTACCTTAACAAGTTGTGAGTCTCCCATTGCTGAACCAATAAATACCACACCATTGTCCAAGTATGTGAGACAGAGTGCAATAGTAGTCTAAATAAAACAAAAACTGTGTCAGTAACAAATCTTAGAAGCATTCTATTGGGGAAAGGGTGGGGCAGAGAGGGAAGAGGGAGGAGGAATATAACCCAAAGAGAACAGTAAAAACTCCCATGTAAGAACCTAAAATTTAAGAACCTGTTGGGCTAAAATTTCCCAGTTAAGCACCCCTCTTATATGAACCATTCAAGCCTAAAATCTCAATACAGGTTCTTATTTTTAGAATGTAGTGTTTGTTCAAATTTGATACAGTACATCGCATGCAATACAAAAAGGTAACAAAAACTAGCCTAGTGTTATAAGACCACAGTACTGTACTGTAAATATATCTATAGTTGTGAAACATATCCAACTGTGTGTACAAGTTAACCATATAAAGCAGGGCACTATGAGGCTTACAGTGCAGTGTCACACCCAAACCCACAAAAACAAGTTGTTTCTTTTTAAAAAAAAATTAAGAAGGTGATTAAGAACCTTGGTAGCCTAATTTCACTGCAAATCACATTATCACATTTATATATTCAACCCATAGAGGCTAACCTGAAAAAAACTAGGTTCTTTTATGCAGGTTTTTACAGTATTCCTGCATAGGAGGTCTCTTACTATGACAAGCTGAGGGTTTCCACCTGAATAGGCAAGAAGGGAAGCCTTACAGTATGAAGTCCCTTTTTCCAGCACAGGATTCACTTAAGTATTTGTGAGTTCTCTTACAAAATATTTGGAAGTATGAACATGTACTACAAAGAAATTATTAGTAAGCCAACATTTATTTCAAGTGGAGTAACAAAACAGAATTCCCTGAATGGTACCTCTCCAAGAAGCTCCAGTTTCAGATCCTTCACTTCAATGTTACCATCCATCAGTTCCTGCCTCTCCAGCAGTAACATAAAAAGTCGACCATTCATGTCACCCAAGAGATACCTTGAACCATTAGCATCAATCTTCCCATAGCATGTTATGGTGCTTTGCTGAAAAAAAATAAGAGGGTTGCATCTCGACATTAAACCTATGAATTTGTGTGTCTCATTGTGTACTGTGGACATGATTTATAACCTGTTTACATGGAGGTGGGGGATACCAGGTAAGTGAGGTAGTGTGCCTAACCTGTATTCAAAAAACAGCCCATGTTTACCTAAAATCGTACAACCATGGGATCCCATGGTGAAATTTCTTGAGGTTGTGCTTGCAAATGTAACATGAACATGATCCAAGCTACGTGGGTTACCTCACCTTGAGAGGTTTATGTGGCAAACTGAGACCCAGTCTGACAGGGTTACCCTGCCATGCAGCAGACCAGGCAACCCACCTAGGCAGGTTACACCAACTATTGTGTAACAATGATCAAGATAAAATAAGAGATTATATGGAAAGGCAGGTTACCCCATCTAGGCAGGTTACCACACCTATGTTGAGGTCCTCACCTCCATGTAGACAGGCCCTTAGAGTATGTAACGACCAGTGGGTATGTTTACTGTTCAGTAAATACCTTCAGAGCTGGTGGAGCAATTGCATGATAATTGGCCCCTTTATGGTATGTTATTGATTCCTGTCCAATGATAAGTGCCCCTCCAAGAGGTTCTGGAACTGAACAAATTTGTAATGTTAATCATTATAATAACACTCAGGGCTGTAATCTAGAGGAGCCTACAATGTATGTGCCACAGGTGACTAAATTTTTGCCTTTGTGCAACTTGTATAACCTTGGTAGAGCACTGCACTGGTATTCACAGAGGTCATGGGTTCAAATCCCGTACAGGCCTGAATTTTTTCAGGCCTTATTTTCACTACTGCTCAAGTAGTGTTCATTACTGTGAAGATCACTTTCATATTCATGTCTTCATCCGTAGTTCACATGTATGATTTTCATATATTCACAGCCATTTGTATAACTTTTCTTTTATGAAAGCTTTTCAGAGCTTCACCCTAGATTTCTGAGAGAGGAGCCCTGAGGCATTCAGAGATTCTCCTAATAAAGAATGTCTATCACTACATCTGTAAATACCTGCAATAACTCTTGAAGCCTCCACCTCCACATTGTCTTGCTTCCAAGGGCCCTTGCTGAACTCTTTATCACGCAGTACAATCTCATAAGTTTTTACATGGCGTCCATGAGGATCCTGTCATACAGGCAAACATGTACAAATAAGATAATTTTAAATGTTAAGCCAAAACTAACATTACTTATGATTCTACATGTATGTGATAACTGCAATAGAGAACAATAGAAAAAAAAATAAACATTTCATTTGGAAGTGTCAAACAGCTGAATGACTTTGTACACCAAGAGTTAATTATCAATAATTAAAAGTGGGTCAATTAAGGCAGAGCTCTGACAGAGCTCAGAAACCACATCAGAGCCACTGACCTCTCTCTTCAGGCCAATTGTATAGCTTTCCTTTTATAAAAGCTTTTAAGAGGCAGGGCAAAAGGCAGGGTCTCAGGCTTTGAAAACAAGATCTCTAAGGCACCTAGTGTTCCATTTAAGAGAATATCTTTTATAATTTTATTTTTTAATTTTCAGAGTCAAACTTGTCTTTTGGATGAAGAAGAGTTTATGAAAATGATACATGTACAAATGTTGACAACAACAACAACACTTGATTTTGAAAGCTACTTGCCTCATAAATGAAAACAATTGTGGGAACCTGACAGCCATGTAGAAATGCAATGTCAATCACATGCAGCTCTTCAAGCCTAGAATACAAAAGTGATAAATTGACCCTTTAATTTCCAGAAGTGGTTAACACATAACTTCTCCCTATAATATCCATTTTTATCCCACAATCAGGTTGTGAAAATACTCAGACTCATCACATAGAAGTTGTTATCTTGTTCTTACACCAATTTCTTGTGACTAATTCAAAAGGGAATGTAGGGAAGATTAACAATCAGATCTTGGGAGTTTAAGGATTAATCAAACCTATAACAAAATTCTAAAACATGATCACTTATCACCAGCCCAATTTGAGCACCAATAGGACAGTGTACATGTCATGGTTGTAACTGGACAGTGTAATAGGACAGTTAAAGGGACAGTTGACATGTTGTGCCTGTGTAAGTGGACAGAACACATCACATGTGCGCGGTTGTCTTGCATTTTTCAGAGTTCACTGTTGTTTTTTTAATGGAAACTTATAACCAGTGTCTAGTTTCTTTCTTAATTTTTCTCATTGCTTTGATTAATTGGTAACAGGATTTCATGTTGTCCAATTCTGTCTGTGATCATAATCATGATTAACAAATCTGACTCATGCTTTGCAATCATCCAATTTTGTTAATCACTCAATGTATGATTACAGACACAATTGGATGACACAAAGTCTTGTTACTATTATTAATCATGACATGGATACAGTATAATGAAGCCAAAACAGAGGAACTAGGCTCTCTAATCTACACACCTACAGTAATGCTAATCAGGTTGAATACATTTTGACTGGGTATCGTGAAATCAAAACCAAAGAAATCACAACACTATACTAAAGCTAGGTAAATCAACACAAGCAACATTCTCAAGTGTGAAACTCATTACCATCCAAGTCTGGTTTGGTTTAACCCTTCAACCCCACAGAGTGATAAGCATCCTACAATATCACCCCTGAATCAAACATTAAGTTCATGAGAATGAACAAAGTGACTGCAAACTCAAAAAACTCCTTTTTAATAAAAAAAAGTATCTTCATAGGTACCAGATGAAACATATAGAAATCAGAGAGAACTTGCATGTACTGAGGTGTAAAGGGTTACATTTTGCATCTAATTGGTTGACAGGTTGCTCAGGTTTTCCAAACCAATCACAGAGCCATGAAAATCAAAATCATTTAATTTGCAATAATTCCTAGATTTCTTTCAACAAAAAATAGAAAAATTCCTATAACATTTGATATTTTTTCCAGTTGTTGGTGTTCAGATAGAGGAATACAAACCTAGTTTGTACTCAGAAGATTTTCAAGATATCCTGAGTTGAAGAGGCCCTGGATAAAATTGCTAACAAACATTCTCACACAAAATCTCTCATTGGTGGTGCATTGACACCACCAGTGTGAATTCCCAAGAAGTCTGAAATATCTGTTGTTTAAGAAAGTAGGACTCCACCTAATATTGTTAAATACCATTAGAGAGAAAAGATTGATATACCCACACCCTAAAAAAAAGATCAACAAGCCTTACCTGATGTTGAATGCTTTTAGTTCTTTGTTTGAATCCAGTTCCAGAGGAATCACCTTAAAAAGTCCATCGTAAAGCCGAAGACCGATCATCCGTGACTCAGGGTCTATGATACCAATCAAACCAGTGTCAGATGGTCTGCCAATTCTGTCCTGATGAAGCAAAAAATAAAACAGCAAATTTTGCTTCACAAGAGTCATTGAGGAGTTCTGCAAACCCCAAAACTTTTACTCCTTTGCACAGTGACCAAAATAGTCATAGGCTAGAGTCCTTCATGGAGCTATTAAGTAGATTTGCCAACAAAGAGTGAGATTTTTGACTGCATAGTCATCAATTGTGACCCCACGGGCATCACATTCTGGGGTGGTGTGTGGGGGTGGAGGGTATTTAAGCATAATCCTAAAGGGGAGTGTGAAAAAATTAACTGGCTAAGACTTTAATCCCTCTACTGTAAGCCTTCATGGACAGTGTTCAACTCTGACGCTTGCTCCATTGGCCAGGGCAAGCCAAATATCTCTGTAACCAACCCAACAAACAACTCTTAGACTTGCCCAATCAGAATTTTTTTGGGACTAATATTTTGCGGAACGGCCTGATTTGCAACCAAGAGAGTGACTAGTAATATGATGTAGTGATCGTAAACACGATGCAGAATTAAACTACCTTACATCTCTTTGCCACTTCATCATTTTCACTGAAAAGGATTCCTGATGATCACTTAGTTGAAATTAGAATACATAATTCATTTAAAGAAATTTTCCCAATTGTGGTTGATCTGGTTGTAAAGTATTTACTAAGTTACCACTCAAGTGACAAGTGAATGCCAAATTATCAGATATAACAGTTTGTTACAAGTTTTTAATTATCATCATTTGTGGACAAAACCTCATGTCAACTACAACACAAGATTAAAGGGGGTAAGTTTCTAAAGAAACTGTGGTGCTGTGTTGGTGGGAGAGTATAACAGGTAATTTAATGTTAATAACTGAGTTGAAAACATAAATTGGCCACTGTAAAGAGTTTAAAGGCTGACATTTTGAGCATTAGCCCTTCATCAGAGTGATTGTGAAGGGCTAACACTCAAAATGTCAGCCTTAAAACACTTTACGGTGGCCAATAATTGGCCAGTTTCAACTCAGTTGTTACAGTTTCAACTCAGTTGTTAACACTAAATTATCTGTTATATTATACAAGATTGTCTTAAGGGTTATATCAGTAGTATTAACATTTTATTTATTTAGTTTTTTTTTTTTTAACAAGCCTCTTTTGAGTTTTCAATTGGGAATGCAGCAACCAAAATAAACCATGGGGAACCAAAAAACCAAACCTTGTTGCCCAAAGGTAAAATTAGCCAGAGCATTTTTTTTTTCTTTTTTAAATCACTTTCACCATGGAGGTGCAGGACACACAACAGAGTGAGGCTTCAAATTAAGTGTGCCCTTAACCCTTTAACTCTCATGAGTGACCAAGACAGAATTTCTCCTTACTCTATCATTATAATATCAACCAGGTAAGTGATGAGAATAAAGAAAAAAAATCAATTTAGGGATAATTGGTTGATCCAATCCTAAATTCTCTGAACTAACATTATAAGAATTGTATGGTTGACAGTAAGGAGAACTACAAATTTGACCTGGGAGTTGAAGGGTTAAGGCAGGCACTGTGAGAATAAAGTGTCAATGCTCAAGAACACAACACATTGTCCCAGCCAGGTCTCAAACCCAGGCTTCTAGACCCAGAGTCCAATGCATTGACCATTAGACTACTGTCAAACACTGCGTGGAGAGAGTCCTTGTTATATGGTAAGCAAACGGAATAACCTAACGGTGGCTCTGCACCATAATTTTAGGTTGCTTGAGAGTGTGTAAAGTGAGTTCAAAAGGAATAAGAAATACATTGTATCTAGAAACTAAGAGAGTTCATTCTATAGGTACTGAAAACTAATGCAGCAGTTTACTAACTCAGAACCAACAGTTTAAATCAGAAAACTTAAATGCAGAAGAAATAGTAGTTTCAGCATAAGGAGTAAGATTGCATTCATTTGCACGAGTCTCACATTCAAAACAAGAGATTTAAGAGCTCTGCATTCAATATGATCAAAGTCTTTCAACAGAGATACAATGTACAGATATATTTACCTGAACATCCCCACAAGCCCTGGTAACAACATCTCCAGACTCTGACTTGTAACTTAGTATAAACACCCTGTACCTTGCCGTTAAAATAAATAACAAATCCTGAGGTTCATTCTAGAAAAAAATTAAAAAACAAGAAAGAATAAGACCAATGTAAAGTTTATTGTAATTTACAAATCAAAGTGAAAAGAAATGAAAATCTGTAATTTGCTTCATAGAAATATGTAATTTGCGAAATAGAAATCTGTAATTTGTGATAGAAATCTTTAATTTACAACAAAGAAATCTGTAATTTTCAAAAAAGAAATCTGTACTATACCAAATGGAAATCTTGAATAGTTCCGTTTCACAAAATACAGTCTCACACTGAAGACATTATTAGCCTAGAGAAAGCAATGACCTGCCAATTGGCTAGTTACACTCTTAAGATATGTTTAAGTCACGTGTTGAGCATTTGACCCCAAAAAGTGACCAGCATCTACATTCTCCCAACAATATGACCACTGAATCACACATTAAGGTCTAAGAATATGAGAAATAAGGCCCTTGATTGTTAAACAAACTCTCCAAGTCAGCACCTTAGGAAATATATGAGGAAAAGTAAGGAGAATATGCATACTGATGTTTGGTGTGAAGGGTTGATCTTTGAAAGCTCAAAGTTCAAACAGAGATGATTGGGTTCATAGAGAAAAGTATCTTTCCTTGCATTCATGGGGTTTTATTTCTAGAGATAATAAAATATTATTACAGCAAGAAAAAGGAATATTTTTGTTAAAAAAACAGCTTAAAGTAGAATGTAACTGTCAGTCTGTGTTACATTTTAAATTGCATTTCTCTCTTTCTTGGCCTACTACTTCATATATGCCTTCCTAGAAAAAAACATATCCCAAACAAAACAAGTAATATTTAAATTTAATCGAAACTCTTTTTACTGTCATTTTTACGGGGGTAGGGGCATGTAGGCTACAACTTAATTTAAAAAAAGAGAGAACAGGCAGCTCGATCTCATAAAATAAAAGCTTATCTCATAAATTAATTTCACTATCATAATTTTACTTATAGTATGAAGCTCACATGCACATGGCAAGGGACTTTCCATTACAAAATAATCGCCACAACCATGCAAACAAACATAGTTTCGGACACTGTAAGCGACGTTCCAGGACTCACCGGAGGTCTGAACAGTTCCATAACAGAAATTCGTCCATATATTCCGATGTCAAGATGCGGTCTCAGGCCTTCTGGTGTCACAACATGGATCTCTAGACGAGTGTTTTTTGCAATGATCAAATTAAGGTCATCTGGGGCTGTAAAATTACCAACTACAGCAGCATTAACGGCCGTTGGCTTATGAGCCGTCACTACATAGTTATGAGCCATGTTATCACCGTAAAAGGTAAATAAGAAGGGGTTTTTGCCTCTACAGAACGGCGGAAACTGCAATGTAGTTGGAATCAAATATTCTGAAAACCGCGAAAAGTATACCGCGAGCCGAGCCCAGGGTTATTTTGGCTCCTTGTCAGCGGTATATCTATTTGTACATATATGTTTCCCTACACCAGTCTACACCACATACTTACTGTGAACAATTACTTGGCCATACCGCTGATAAGGAGCCAAAATGACCTTGGGCTCGAGATTGACCGCAAGCACACGGTCAGTTAGCGGAACGTGCTGTAGGATTGGTAGATAGCTCATATATGGGAACATATATTATACTGAATAAATATTTCTGACGGTATGCGGTCAACTCGCCACTACAGAGAGTTGACTTGCCACCAGTGGCAAATTGACCGTTGTGTCTCAATTATTGAATGTTAATCGTTAAAAGCAAGGAGAATATTGAGTTTAAGTATTACATGAGGTGAAATAAGAAACGATGATATCATAGAGACTACGATCACTTTGCATGCAGTGAAACCAGAGCGAATTTTGCCGTGTGATTTTTGCCGATGTTTATGAAATCGTATGAATCTTAATAACTAGGCCGTAGTAGTATATCACGAAATTAGACGCGTACAAATACGGCGAAAGTTTAGCAGGTAATTTAGTGTTAACAACTGAGTTGAAAACGTAAATTAGCCACCGTAAAGGGTAAAAAAGCTGACGTTTCGAGCGTTAGCCCTTCTTCAGAGCGGTTGGAAAGGGGCTTAGCGTCCTTTCTTTGTGTTAAGCACAACGACCTTTAACGCAAGTTTTGTTTTTATGAACGCAGTTCGAAACCAAATCTAATGAAACTTACATCATATGAAAGCTTGCATCTCTTTTTGTTAATTTTTTTGGTTTTGATGATGCAAAATTAACGGTACGCATAAACAAGGTGAATTTCAGAGAGATAGAGCCGTAATCATTAATCAATGACGGTCAAGAACTCAATTTGCCACCGGTGGCGAGTTGACTCTCAGGGTGTTGTCCAGTTTTTTGCAGTGGCGATCGAGTTGACCGTAAACTATTTCTAAGTATACCTTAATGCTCATTCAACAATATTCACGCTGCCTGAGGCAAGTATATAATTGTTATAGTATAATTGATCAGGCGCTTTCGAATTCTGATGTAAATTGTATTTCTTGTTGAAACCATTCTGTTACAAGTTTTCACAAGAATTTAAAAGGTTTATTGAATTCAATCAGCAAAAACTTTATATCTTTCTTTTGAAGAGTGTTACGTCAAACATAGTGGCATCTTTTGTGCTCTTCAGAAATGAATTTCCTTCTATCGCGTTCATCACTCCCTAGGTTAATATGGCAAAATGCGAGGCAGCCATCTTTTAATTTAACGCCCCTGCTGTTTTCATCTCGTGCGAGGTGATTATAGCGAGATATGCCACAACCCTCGACCAACCAGAGCGCACATTTCGATAATCACCGGAGCAATTAAACTAATTCATCATTATAATTGTACCGAATATACTTCACTGCTCAGTGCTTCGTAGGCAAGGATAATGTCACCGAAGGACCGGGAAGGATGTCGAGGCGAGGGAAGCTGAAAACACGTATGGATATAACCCGGAAAATCAGGTTATGATTTTGGAATCTTTATCTCGCAGGGGAATTTTTTCAATCGATGAAAATGGAGAGGGAAAAATGAAAAAGGGAACGGGTGAGTAAATGCAAACATTTGTCGATAGACGAGCCTATGTAAATAAGTGTCACGGATGGCTTTGTGCACAAAGCCCTTTGAGTTCAGTGAATGGAAACAACCGACTACCAACTTTGAGTTTTTTGGAGCGAAAACGCCATTTCGGTATGATTTTGAATCACCAAACTGATCACATTCATAAAATTCTCTTTATCAGTCGGTTACATTAGACTATAAACAGTCCCTGCCTTTTGGTGAAGTCCGTTGCGCTAGCCGAAAAAGGAAATAAATGCAACAAAAATAGATGTTCGCACCCCGCGCCGAACTTTGGAAGTGGGCCTCACTCCCAGAGTTCCATGCACGACGGACTTCGCTGAAACGGAGAGACAGCTCGTAGTCTACGGTTACGTAATCGCAATCCTATTTCAGTGGCACTGAATGCATATGATAACCCCTCCCCCCCACCTCATCTTAGTGTGTTGAATTATTTACAAATGTCATTTAAATACCAATTTATAGGCGTTTTTTTTCACAATTTCGGCAGAAAGCTGTAAAGTTGAATGTCAGACCGTTTCTGCAGATGTGCCACATCTTCTGAGACGGTCTGTCATTCAACTTGTCGAAATTGTGAAAAAAAGCCTATAAATTGGTTTTTGATGACGTACGTTTGCAAATAATTCAACTAATTCGGAATGTGTGGAAGACTTTAAACAATCTCGATTATGGAGATGTTTGTTGTTCACTTTTAATGTATTTTATTTTTTTATTCAGCTTTTTTCGGTGGCTGCATTCAACTGTCAAACTTCCACTGCAAATGATTTCAAAACAAACAGCATACAAGTCTCGTTGTGAGGGTGTTTTAAATTTTCACGCATCAATATTATGTACGTATAACGCTATCTTAAAATATCTTTGGGAGTGCTTATTCAACTCTTTAAAATATTTTTCTATTTGCCTTCCCGTAAGTATTACAGAGTTACCGACATCTGATATTTCAAGATTGCTGACGCCGTTTCCCCTGAACATGCGGCGCTAACATTCATATTCTGCATTATTTCCAAGAGGAGGTCCGCTCAATTTGAGCGAAAAGGTAAACTTTATATTTTGCTGAACTAGTTAAAAGGTTAAGAAACAAATCTTTCTGCCCGCCCACCTCTTAGTTTTTTGTATAAGACATGAGACATATTGACTAGTCGCTACAGGAATCGATGAATGAGCCAACGGGGAAATACCAGTCAGTGAAACGCTTATAATTAATTTTCGACAATCATTTCCTAAGATGGAAATGTTTTGACAAACGCTTGTCCCCTGACATGTGTTTCTTTATAAATATGAACAACTTTTGGGTCTATTATTTTCAACATTTTGCTGCCGACGAATTAGGATAAAATAACGAAGTTACCCCAATTCTGTGATAAAAAAGTAAAATATGTTTTTCGTAAAGAATGAGACACAACGTAAGTGGAGCTTTACAATTTATCAATAGAAGACAAAAAATTTAAAGGTAAGTCAGGCAGTTATAAAAATTACAAAAAAGCAAAGGATAAAAAAAGAACCTTAAGAAATAAACCTAAAAAACAACATATCAATTTACAGAAGTTTACTCGAACGGAGATATTCATTTATAATCTTAAAAGCTTGGCATCACTTTAGTGCCGGTCCCTTTTACCAATCCAAAAGGTTTTTATGCAAAATCAAAAGTGCACACTTGTCGTGATTCGAAATAAAAGCGCAGCTTGTTTTGTCCTTGATTTCCTTCTCCTTGCCGCTCTGTTAACCAGCAGTCGAGCACGAAAAATACAAGTCGGAAAGTTAGCTTCATTTTTTTCCCCACGGCGGCAATGTCCTTGAGGTGATATTGGACATGACATGTGAGTGTTTTTCATTATCAATGCTCTACTTTAGGCTGGTAACTAACTCCTATATAGGACTTTCCGTTGAGAGCCCTATTTTTTCTCACGGTTTTTGCAATCTTAAGATGAAATTGGATTTCATTTATATTTGCTTTAAGATCAGTTTTAATTTGTTTCATTAACATTATTCTACCTTGCACGTCAATGATGGCTCTAAAAGTGATTTTTGTTAAGAAAAAATCGGATCGGTGAAGGTCTAAACTGAATTTCTACAACATCGTTGCTTTATTTGACCTATCTGCGAAGCGGATTTTTCAATTTTAAGCGACTAAATTATCTATTAAATCTCGCCCTTCATAAAACTCGTCCTTTACATTTCGTTTTTCAAAGTTAACATCTCAGTTGTAGACATTTTCAAGTATCTTCGATGCACTGTGTGTAAACAGTTGTTTGTTTGAATTTTTCAAATTTGCCGGAAACTCTTTTTTTTTACATGCATAAGTTTTTTTTTTTCCTTCATCCTGGCCTAAGTCTTGCATCATTTAGTATATTCCAATTGAAAAGTGTGGGACCAAAAATGAAAATTTATCAGAGGACACGATTAGCTACTCAAGCTAAAAGTCGACTTACTATTAATTTTTAATTTGTTGGCTTATTGCCTACAGAGGAACATTAAATGGAACTGGATAATACGCGCAAAATTCCGCTTGCACAAATATCTCTAAGGCTTTCTCAATCTCTATAGAATCAATTTCATTGTTGCTCAGTTCTAAGAAAAAAACTGAAGAACATCTGCTGCAGAGTTCACGTTTCACATAAACTTGTCATCACAATTAGTGCTCTATGTCAAACTTTAAGAATGAAAAATAAACACCTTGTTTAAAGAAGACAGTCGACATCTTATAGCGGAGTCTGCGGGACCTTTATGAGTCGATATCATTTTTCCTAATATAAGTCAACAAGGAAGAATGTAGAGCAAACCATATTTTGGGTAATTCTCGGTATTGTTTCTATCCGGCAGAAAACATCTATAAAGGAGAAAAAACTGGAGGAAATTATCTAAATGCCAAAATTGACAGAAGGCATCAAACCCAGACGAGGATAAACGAAAAATCCTAAAAAATTGCCTAGACTAACGAAGTGAGGTAAGATGAACTCGAAGGCTTTTGATAGGACATTGAAAAAAAACACACATTTTGACTGTGGTTTCTTCACCAGAATTCTATTATTATTTCTCGATGTGATTTTATAAGAACTGGTAGGCAAAAAGTAACCGTCGGGATATAAGAGCCTTGGATATGGCTAGATTTGAGTGTTACCTTAAGGTGGTAGTGTGGAATTTATAGAATTTCAGGAAAGAACAATATATTATTCATTTAGGGACAAGGTCTTTTTCTTTTTTGGAAATTTTCTTTGAGTCAAAGGGCGGTCAATCTTTTTTTACCGGAAGTAATATGATAATATAAGACTCAGTCAGCCATAAAAAATAGCTACCTTAATTGTTGAACAGTCACGATGAAGGACGAGTACTTGTTGTTTATTGTAAATCTTTGGCCCGGTTAAAACGGCGAATTTCACATGAGACGAACCAAACTGTAAGAATTGACTTCATGTTGAATTCGACGTCAATTTGAATCAGTTGAGTACGTCCAACTGAATTTGGATCGATCAACATGCACATTCGTAGATTCGTATTTAGTACGACGAGTTCTACTCGACGTTTTAACAAACTGTCGACCTTTACCTGTTTTATTTAACCAAAATTGCAATTTACATTCGTCTCATGTGAAGTTCGAATTCTGAACAGTAGGCCTCAGCAAGAGAACAAATTGCAAATTGTCAGTTATAATTTTCCTTCCCAAATCAACTCATAAGGCCGTGTATAAAGGCAGGTAATGTTATTTTTTATTTCTTTATCACAGGTCTCAAGAAAGAATTAATAAAAAATATGTCGGCGATGTATATGGCCTTTTCCATTGTCTTTTCCCTAATGGCGGTTCTGGATATCATTGGTAACACATTCGTCATTCTTGTTATCCTGCGAAACCAATCAATGAAGACACCTGTCAATTATCTGCTTGTCAATCTTGCTGTCGCAGACATACTGGTTGGTATTTTCTTTGGGATACAGTTCATCATCACCCCAACTCTAAATCACCCAGAGGGGAGGACTGGTGATCTTCTCTGTAAACTCATTACAGGCGGTGTTCCTGGGTGGGTGGGTGCGGTAACTTCTGTCTTCTCACTAATTGCCATTGCTATTGAACGTTATTTCGCAGTGATGTATCCACACAGTCAGCGGGGTAAACTCACTAAGACAAAGGTTGTCTTCTTTGTTGCTGTCAGCTGGTTTCTTGCTCTTTTGTGGGCCGGAGTTGGATTTTTCATCACAGTTTACAACAGCGAATTGCAAAGTTGTGTTCACAGCTGGCCTAAGGATATTTACGCCAATATTTACACAGTTGGGTGGACTGTGGTGGCGGGTGTAATGCCTTTAGGCATCATGGGTTGTCTGTACGCACGTGTTGTGTACCGACTGTGGTTTACGGATCAGGAAAACGAGGCTACCCAGAGGGCATTGCTGCGCCACAGGAGGCGTGTCACAAAGCTTGTTATCGCTGTGACAGTTGTTTATGCGTTTTGTTGGGTTCCTGAGTTGATCATTTACTTCTTGGGTTTTACAGGGGTTATAAAATTACGAGCAATTCATTTTAATATTGCATCAGCTCTGGTATTTTTTAACTCCACTGTTAATCCAGTTGTGTACAGCTTGCAGAGCAGTGTTTTCAGACGACATTTTTGGAATCTTGTCTGTTGTCGAAAGATGCAGAACAAAGTGAATCCTGCCCTAGAGCGTGATTCGATCTCAATTGCACGGAAAAGAACAAATCGGGCCAGCCCAAAGAGGGACGGGAGGGATTTGAGTTTCCTTCAGAGAAGGGAGGCAAATAACGCACAGTGATGATAAAACTGATTTCCTCATTACCCAGCCAAATAGATATTGCTACTTTTATTCGTCCCATTGATAAACAGATCGCTATTGGGAACCTCCTTATGGCGGCTGAAAACTTTCCTTTTCTAGCAGCAAGCAAAGAAGCTGTTTTCTGGCGAGCACAATATTCATTTAGGAACACAAGAATCGATGGTCGGGATGGCGCAATTATATAGAACACCGGTATTTTCCTCTTGTTATCCCGCTCGCTTACTCTTAAACTGCGCACCAACGCGTTCCCCCGAAAAATAGGAGCGCCTAATCCGGCGCCAGTTACTGCGCTGACTGGCGATCGCTGAAGAAAGCAGCCACGATCCCTTGTCGATTCTTGCAGAGAGGTGCTACAGTAATTTATCACAAGCTACATGTATTCTTCACCTTCAATAAAACATGCAGAATTTATACGAACTCGTAAGCACCTCACTGAGTGTGTATATGAATTACGGTCGTTTCGCCTACGGGTCGTTTCGCCTACGGTCTGTTCGCCTACGGTTAGAGTCGATTCGCCTACGTCTCATATGTCAGTTCGCCTACGTGTTAAAACATGTGTTACAACAGTTGATTCATCTACTTTATGTGCGATCGCGCTCGGATCCTAGTCGGTCGATTCAATTCCTAGAGCGTGACTCATAAAGTCAAGCCTATCGAAGTTAAATGATTGTAAATAAGGAGCGTTCGTTTACCTGAAAATTTCCGTTTTAATTTGATTCATCTTCGTTCGAGTAAAAACAAGTTATGTAAATATCGCATATTCTGAGTTGCGAATTACACGGTTCTCCAATTACACTCAGTAACCATGAAGCGTACTCATTTCGCGACATTTTAATTCTAATACACTTATTACATGCGGGGACGTTTAGGTTATCCGAGTGACACCTGCCCCTTAAACAACAGATCATTCGCGTTTAATTCCACAGGGCGCAGAGGAGTTCATTGTGACGGTAGGCGAGGCGAAAAGTTTACCGAGCCGGTCGTACGATTCGCCTGTGTTAACTGTATAATCGACACATTACATACATAAACTAGTTTATAGAAATAAAAGATTCAACGAGTCGCCCGCCAAATCGACGCAGAAATTGAACCGACTGTCAAGTCAAGCCGAAGCTAATTTCGTATATGTTAATGAAAAGTCTCACCTTCTTTAGTTTAGGCGCCGCTCACGCTTCACAAGTCTACACAAAGACCGTAAACAGTGGTTTGTTTACTGCTCTGCTCGCGCTTTACACGACCACACAAAGACCGTAAACGGTGGTTAATTTCATTTTAATACACATCTTAATGCTCAGTTTTACAATGCTCAGTTTTACAATCGCACGTTTCTTAAATCATTTTAAGCAAAATATCTTTCACACATTCGTAGACGACCGGGTTCCGCCATAATAAAGTTTTTAAAAACGAACTTAGATGTTTTAGCGCGTTGTTTTTCTAGCCATCGAGGATAGAATGGAAGGAATAATACAAGGAACAAAGATTTTTAATAATTCCGATTTAAAGCTTCAACATCTGACTCGTAGGCGAACTGACATATAAGACGTAGGCGAATCGACTCTAACCGTAGGCGAAACAGACCGTAGGCGAAACGACCCGTAGGCGAAACGACCGGATACCGTGTATATATTTGCGATGACGATTAAGATTAAGTTTGATTAAAATTCATCAAAATATGATTGTCTTGCTTTTCCATTTGTCCAATGCAGGAAGATTCGAAACATAAGCCAGCATTATCACAGTGTTGGATATCTATAAAAGGGCTGATTATAAAGTTTTTCCTCCCGAGGATTTTCTGATGAACTTGAATTAAGACATAACTCTTGTCACTCTGTAACTACTTCTTTACGTGCTCCATTTTTCATGTAGAGACGTTGTTAGGTAGTGACTCGCCTGCTCCTAACGAGATTCCCGACAGGATACCGTCCTAAGATATCCGAAGGAGAGATAGAAATTAACTTAAACAGTCCCCCATTCTCTTCTCCAAAGCCATTCATTTCCTTTTCCCGTTTGGAGATTTCGATTCGTCTATCATGTGACCGCGTCTTTTTCGCGATTTTTCGCGCGCCTGTTTAGCCTAATCTCGCCCTTCCTTCCACTAGAGCCTAGTCTTCATCATTCAACTCTGACTCCTTTGCAGCGTGATGTCACGCAATGCTTGCCTTGAGGAAGACCAACGACAATGTTATTCACGATCTTCCCAATATTCTTGAGATACGACGAGGATGAGAGTCTAAACCAACATAGAACGCAAATTTGGCTGCGTTTTCGTCAAGCCCATGGTGTTTATTAGCTCATTCTTCTGGACGTAAAAATTGTCGGACTTACATAGTTTCCGCAATGCACGCTGAATGTAAATAATCCCTGTCTCCAGGACTGCAGATCACATGATGATAATATGACTATTACTGTAACACATAACACTCACGACTGGAGATGGTGCAGTGAGGTGAGTCTAACGAATAGCCTCAAAATCATGTTGATCCTCGCTTGGAATGAGAGGCAATCTGATCGGGCTTTAGTCCTACTGCTCACTTCCATTTGTACATATTCAGATTGAACTACCGGTACGGTAGTACCTGGGCAATCAATCGTTAAGCTAAATTTAATAGGCATAGTAATCATTGTTTTCGTTGCAGCCACAGAATCTCCTACGACTTCAAATCAAAGGCTTGCGCAGAGATATACCAAAAATATTTGACCATGCGTGCAATCCTGCAGTTAGCAGTGTTGTCCTCCATAGTTATTGTTGCTCAAGCAAAGAACATCAGTCAGCCTCATATAATATTCATCTTGGCTGATGATTTGGTGAGTACTGTGAAGTAACCCTTTGACCCTTAAAAGTGATAACCCTTAAGCTCCCAGATCAAATTTGTAATTCTCCTTGCTGTCAACCATAGAATTCTAAGTTATAATCATTATGTTAGTTCAGGGAATGTAGTATTAGATCAAGTAATTATCCCCAAACTGATATTTTTCTTTATTCTCATCACTTATCTGGTTGATATTGTATTGATATTGTAAGGAGAAATTCTGTCTTGGTCACTCATGTGAGTTAAAGGGATAAGCATCTAATTTCTCCTCGCAATATCACCCCTGAATCAAACATTCAGGAAACAAGAACGAGAGAAATGATCACCAGTTGAAGAAGCTCTTGATTGTTAAACAAATTCTCCTTGTCAACACCTTAGGAAATGTAAAGAGAGCAGAATGGAGAATATGCAAACTGATGGTAGAGTGAAAAGGTCTAATAAGACCACATATTATTACAGGTTTATCATGATAATTACTTTTTGTTGATTTTAAATATACAGTTGTTGTACATTCCTTTTTTGTTTTTCTTTATTTGCTATATTTAAACATCCCTACTGTAAAGTAAACTACCCATTCATGCAAAGAACTATACTTTTTAACCCTGCCACTGCCAAGATCTGATTGTTAATTCTTCCGTTTAGCTGCTAAACATTTACTTGTAAATTGTATAGTTGCAGGAATTTGATGTAAGATTAAGATAACAACTTCTACCAGATAATTTGAGTATTCTCATTACCTGTTTGTGGATAATGTATGCACATTTTATGGAGAAGTTGCATGTTAATCACCTCTTGAGGTTTAAGAGTTGAAAGAAATAATGAAACAATGAAAGAAATTATGGAAAAATGAAAATATTATATGGTGGAAGTGATCTTTATGCTGTTGTGTTCTTTCTTCTTTTTTTCCATTTTTTTAGGGCTGGGATGATGTGAGTTTTCATGGTTCAAAGCAAATTCCGACTCCTAATATTGATGGTTTGGCAAACAATGGAGTGATCTTGAACAACTACTATGTGTCACCAATTTGCTCTCCAAGTCGCAGTACTATCATGACAGGAAAATATCCCATACACACAGGTAAATATCTGCTACAACCAGTTAAATATCTTGTATACACCTGTAGGCAATTATCAGGTATATCTTTTGTAATTCAAATTTTTTCCTTGTTTGAGAATTAATTTTATTGATATAGATCATGAAAAAAAAAAAGAAAGAAAGAAATTTAATATCTAACTGATTTGAATGATGACTTAAAGTTTAGTTTTTCACAGATAGATTGAACCACCAGATATAGGAAACCTTAAAAAAATTGTTTTGTATCTACATTTTTTGGTGAGATTATGAAGCAGCAAAAGCAGAAGTTATCTTAAATAATCAATTGTATGGTCTAACTGTGTGTTAATCCTTTAACTCTGTCTAACTCCTCTTTAACTCCTTTAACCCACAGAGGTGACTAACATTGAACTTCTCCCTATAATATTCATACATTATCTAGCAAACAGGTAATGAGAATACTCTAACCTATCAGGTCAAAGTTGTCATCTTTATGTAACACCAAATTCTCCTGACTATATGACTGTAATATATAGGGAAATGTGCAGCAGCTAGCAGGGAGAATTAAACATCAGATCATTGGAATTATACAAGGGTTAAAATAGGAAATGACTTCAGATAGGACACCTAGGGTGATTTAAGATTATATGAAGCAAATTTAACAGCATCTAAAACCTTGGCCCTGGGTAGGACCTTATTGAAGAGCTGCTGTTTGGCTTCCAGAATGAAATTTTCTGGTATGTATATTCAAAACAAGAATGTTAAATTGAAAGACAGAAAATTGTGCACAAGTGAATGAGGGTTTTTGTAAGAAAGATTTTCAGTGAACCATTATTGATTAACTTTTTTTCCATGATGACCATTTTCAGGAATGCAACACAGTGTTATCATGGGTGGAGAGCCTTTTGGGTTAGGTCTGGAGGAAAAATTGCTACCTCAGTTTCTCAAAGAATTGGGTTATGCCACACATGCTGTGGGAAAGGTACAGATTTGAATAATTTTAATCTATCACAAGAGTAGGCTTAGTGCATGTGCTTTCTAATGAGTACCATGATACAGCATACAATGCAAAGCTGGGTAAGATAAGACAATGAGTGGCCTGGTACTAGTAATAGAAGCCCTTTAACCCTTTACATCCTAACATCAGTATGCAAACTCTTCATACTATGTTCTATACACTTCTTAAGGTGCTGACAAGGAGAATTTATATAACAATCAAGAGCTTTTTTGTTTGGTGATCATTTCCTCTATTCTCATGACCTTTATGTGTGATTCAGGGGTGACATTGTAAGGAGAAATTAGATGTTAGTCACTCACAGGGGTGAAGGGCTAAGAAGCCATTGTATTCATAATAAAACAATCTTAGGGTTTAAATGTATGTTCGTGGACATGAATATCTTCTGGGACCAAGTCCATGGGTTAGCTCTGAAAAAGGCCCAGCTTTTTACTCTCTCTCTTTAAAAAGACAGAACATGCAAAGGTTGAAAGAAAGTGGTTTTAAAAACTCCATTTGCAAGTATTGTGTTAGAATTATTAACAGATAACATCATGTGATTTCTCATTGTGGGTAGTAAGATTGGTTTAATGTTTCAATCCTATATGATTTTCTGTGTGTGTCATTAAATTTGGTTGTTGTTGATGTGGAATTGCAAGTATGCTTTGGAGTATATGAATCAATTTATGAAATATCTTTGGTTTCATGATGTTTTGCTCAATTTGTCTGTCAGTGGCATCTGGGATTCTTCAAGTATGACTATACCCCAACGAAAAGAGGATTTGACTCATTCTTTGGATACTGGCTGGGTGCTGGTGACTACTGGGATCAATCTGAAGCTGAAATGTATGGGTCATGGGGATTGGACCTTAGGAACAATACAGAGGTACATGTACATGCACTGAAATTTCCTTTGTATTTAAATCTCATACCAAGAGTGATTCATGAGAGCCTCTACAAATTCCAACTGCACAATATTTAATCATCATTGTTGTTGTCATGATCATGATCATCGTCATTATAGGGGGCAGATTCAGGATATTTTGCAAGAGGGGATGCACCACTAAGAAATAAGTTTTAATTGACTGCTGAAGAAGCAGGGTTATGACTGGGCAATGACATGGTGTGAATTTTTGAGAATACATAGCAAATGATACAGCAGATTTTGTATCACCATGAAGCTGCAGGACATCTCATGGGGACGGGGCAGGGGGAGGTACATACCCCCTGCACCCCTCCCCTCATAGATCCACCTTTGCATCATCATTTCCATTTTCAAAGAAGAGGTATAGAGGCTGTCAGATTTTTCTCCAACACACTTAATTCCACATCATGTCTTGCCTGCAATCCAGCTCTTAAACCCCATCTTGTCTCTTTCCTTCAGAATGACTTCTTCATATTTTTTTAAACAAAATGAATATTTAAGAATTCCTTTTTGTAAATTTTGCAGCCTGTGCATAACCAGTGGGGAAATTACCGCACCTATATGTTCACAGACCATGCTGTAAATTTGATCAACTCACACAACACCTCCAAACCACTCTTTTTGTACCTGGCACATGAAGCAGTTCATAGTGCAAATGCACACCAACCACTTCAAGCACCAAAGGATCTGATTAACAAGTTTAACGACAGCATCCATGATGAGGATCGGCGAGTTTTTGCAGCAATGGCTACAGCACTGGATCAATCTGTTGGAAAGGTGAAGTGAGCAATGCAAGCTTGTAGTCACTGATAGTTTCATTTGGTGTATCAAAAATAATCTATTTGATCTTGTTGTTGGTTGACATACATGCTGTACATTGGGATGAGATTCAATCCTGCAGCAAAAGGAATACCAATGCAGTGCTCAGACAAATAAGAACAAAGTTTGGAGTTACAAGAAGCTTCTTAAAACTATTTATGTCAATTCTTTTTCTGCTGGATTTAATTCTTATACAGGGGGTGTACATACTATAAAAAAGTCTGTACTAGAGCTTATTTTAGTCATCCATCCAGCTGGAGCTTATCATGTTTTTCCAGAGCATGAGGTGACTAAAAGTATCACAACACCCACCCTGGATGGGATGCCAGTCCATCACAAGGGTACCCCCTGTCAAACTATGCTGAGAATTTGCTGATAGCCATTTACACATCTGGATTGAGAGAAGCACTGTCATAGAAAAGTGTTTACCCCAAGAACACAACACAGTGACCCAGCCAGGTCTGAACCCAGACCAGTGACTGCACCTACTGTAAAGTCACCACTTCTTCCAATTTATACATACTGAGTCGATGAAGATTTTCTCGTCAGTCTGACTCCTGAACTTGTTTTTTGGTTACATTAGGTGATTGACACACTCAGGGCAAGAGGAATGTATGATAACTCCATCATTGTGTTTAGTACTGACAATGGTGGACCAGCCAATGGTGTAAGTCGGAACACAGCTTGTAATTATCCGCTGAGAGGAACCAAGTATACTTTGTGGGAAGGTGAATAATGAATGATTATAGATGATTATGATAAGATGATGATGGAGGATATAGAATGTACTATTAGCCTCTTAATACCCTAACATCAGTATGCATATTCTCCATACTGTTCTCTATACATTTCTAAGGTGCTGACAAGGAGAATTTGTTTAACAATCTAGAGCTTCTATCGTTGGTCATCATTTTCTTTTTCTTGTGACCTTATGTGTGATGTTGGGGGTAGTATTGTAAGGAGAAATTAGCCTAGTCACTCTCAGGCGTTAAAGAGTAAACACTAACAAGTTTCTTTGGTTGATGATCAACGCTATCATTCTCTTTACCTTAATATGTGAATCAGGAATGATATGGAAGAAAAAATAGATGCTAGGTTAAGATTTATGTATTCTAAGTAATTTGTAACCCACAGATATCTTACATCCATTTTCAATTGATAGATTAACTACACAAAACGTTTTGAGTGTATATTGTAGATTTGTAGTGGCATGAAGGGTTACTCTGTGGTCTCCTTCTAGAAAAGGAGCCATAAATAACCTTTGACCCTGAAGAGTGACTTGCATCTAATTTTTCCTTGAAATATCACCTCAGAATCAGTCATTAACCCTTTAACTCCCAAGATCTGATTGTTAATTCTACCCTCTAGCAGCTGCACATTTCCTTGTAATTTAGTAATGAGAGCTTGGTGCTAGATCAAGATAGTAGCTTCTACCTGATAAGTTTGAGTATTCTCATTATCTGTTTGCTGGATAATGCATGGATATTTAGGGAGAAGGTTCACGTTAATCACAGTACTGGGATTTAAAGGGTTAAGGTCTTGAGAATTAAGAAAATGATCACCAAATAAAGAAACTTTTGACTGTTCAAGAAATTCTCCTCACCAGCATGAAAGGAAGTGTTTAGAGAACAGTGTGGAGAATTTGCATACTGATGTTAGGGTGTAGAGGGCTAAATAACACCCCAGTCTGCTTATTGCATTTTGTACATCTGAATTTGATATGGATACATGGCGATCGGTGAATGTGAGGGAAATTTAGCCATTGTTGCAACTTAGAAAATTAAATTCATTTTGCCATTCTGGTGGATGGTGTTACTGTATGTGCTTGAAATTATCATAAAATCAGCGAATCGTTACGTCAAAGAGTAGTGATTATCATGATAATAATAAATCTAAGCGTTCTTGTATCATCTCTTAATCCGTCAGGAGGAATCAGGGGAACCTCTTTTGTCCACAGCCCCCTCTTGGCATCCACAGGCCGTGTGAGCATGGACCTAATGCATCTGTCAGACTGGCTCCCTACGCTCTACGGGCGTGCGGGTGGGGACGTGCAGAAGCTCCTTAACATAGATGGGTACGATATGTGGCCTTCTTTGTCCAAGGGCGAGAAGTCTCCTCGAAAGGAATTGGTGCATAACATTGACCCAGTGACGTGGGCATCTGCGCTGCGATATGAACAATGGAAACTGTTGGTGAATGAAAGTGAGAAATGTGTTCTCGTGATATCCTAAACGCATGCTGTAAAACGGTCTTTTTAGGAGCTCGGAAGACTCAAACTCTCCATCATCTTGAGGTTGAAACGGCGTGCCTGGGCTGCAGTTTTTGCGTGAATTTGTCGCACCAAGGCAGCGTTTCCTAAGTTTGTGAGTCTGTTTTACCCTTTAAACTTAAAGAGTGACTAGCATCTACTTTTTTCTTACAGTAATACTTTTGAGTCACTCATTGACATGATAAGAATACAGGGAAATGATCACCGAACTAAGAAAATTTGATTGTTAAACAAATTCTCCTTGTCAGTACCAAAAGAATTGTATGGAGAAGGGTATGGAGGATATGGGTACCGAAGTTAGGGCGTTAATTTTAACCACGGAACTCAATGCCCAGGCAACTCTAACCGTTGTTGCGCGCCAGACCTTAGAGCTATGACACTTCACACTTACTGTCTGGTATTGAAATGGGACCAAAGTTATCAGGAGAGGCCTCTCCTAATTACCGTTTCGTTATCGCACCAACGCGCTAGGGCTTAGTTTATTTGCAACGAGGGGTCTACACTCTGCAAGGATTGTCTATGTTATAGGCGTTGTGTTTAGAAATAGGGTAAGAGAGATGTAAAATTTTTAGCTTGATTGGCAAGTTATTGTACTGTTATTGACTGTTACACTTTTATTGATTATTGATAATACAATTTTACTTCTGTCAAGCTGACGGTGGTGGTCGTGACGGATGGTACCCACCGCCGGGGATCGAGGAAAACGCACGATCACTGCGCAATTTCACCACCTCCCTTCCCTCTCTGAAAAACGCAGTTGTGACGTGCGGACCGCAGCCAGCTGAGCCCACAAAGTGTGGCGTCAAGGACGGGCCATGCCTCTTCAACATCCAAGACGATCCATGTGAGTACACCAACGTAGCCGAGAAAGAGAAGGACGTGCTGAAAATGATGTTGCAATTGCTGGAGAAGTACAAAGCGACTATGGTGCCGATTAGGAATAAACCCTACGACAAGAACGCGGATCCCAAATTCCATGATGGCGTGTGGACAGCGTGGTGTGACGAGAAACCAAATGAGAACTGCGAGGAGTAGTGCCAGGGCACTCAGTGTGGTTGATCGTCACTTAGCAGGTTGTGGGTGGGGATTTAAAAGAATTAAGGCAGAAATGATTGTAATTTGGTTCCTTCGGTAACGTGATTGCGTCTTTCAAATTCATCTTTACCAAAAGCCATGGGCAAACATCTCTTAATGGAAAACAAAGAATTGCCACGTTGCTGTGCATCTCATGAAAGTCTCTCTTCGGGTCCGGGAAGTTAACCCTTGAACTCCCAAGATCTGATTGCTAATTCTCCCCTCTAATTGCTGCACATTTCCTTGCGAATTACTTACGAGAATTTGGCGTTAGATCAAGATAACAACTTCTACCTAATAAGTTTATGTATTCACATTACCTGTTTGCTGGATAATGTATGGATACTATATGGAGAACAGGAGCCCATTACCCGGAGCCTCCATACCAATTGTACCCTTGAGTCAACCCTGTCCCGTATCTTTTTATTTTTAGAACTGAGATATGTGGGGGGTTCTTTAATTTCCCGCGAAAACACGGTGATGTTCGCATAACACCCAAAAAAAAATTGCGGCCAAAGGCGAAGGCTGACCTCTATTCCTTCTCTGCAGGAGACGTAAACAGTAGAGGACCACAGCTCTCTTATGATTGGCTATTATGTAAACACCCGCGAAAAACCCCGTGGGAGGTGCTTCTAAAAATAAAAAGATACGGGACAGGGTTGACTCAGAGGGTAAGTATGGAAGATGGAAGCTCCGGGTAATGGGCTCCTGATGGAGAATTATATGTGAATCGCCTCTGGGAGTTTGGGTTTAAATGCAGCAGCAGTTCAGATGGAATGGAATGATCCCTTTTGGTACTGAGTCGCGAGATTGATAAACAAGGGAATCTAAATATTGAGGGTTGGTAAGTCTTACGTGCGGAAAACCAGGAAGAAATTAAATCCAAGCATAAAAATAGTAAAATAATGAAGGGAAGGATTAAAAATAACTAAAAAGCAGCCTGTAAATTAGCAGACGGAGGTGATTCAAAAATTTATGGGGTGATTTTGAAGGTCTTGTGGTAAAAATCTCTTAGTTGACTAATATAATGTAATAATCATTTTAGTATGGCTAAATTCTTTGGTACCCAAGATACTTCAGAGCTAACTTCAGATTGCTACACATTTATTCAGTCAAATTTTACTTTCCAACACTTTGTCTTTATTGAATCCACCAACTGATTAAAATTCTTAATCTCGAAAATATTTCTGCCTCTGAGTGATTTTTTAAAAATCGTTAACCTACAAAAATTATCCCACCTATCCTAACCCCACACCATCGTTATTTTTTTAGATCATACTTTCGCGTTAGTTTCCAATCCAAACTCGGCTGTCTTTCAGTTCAGCAAATGCTTTGATGTGACAATGAAAAACATAATGCTCATTTTGGCCTAACATGTCGGCGTTAGTGAGGCTAATAGATAGTAAAGGCGTGTGTCGCCAGCTACTGATAGGTGAGCTATTCTACAACATCTAGAGTTTGCCACAATTTAACTCTCCATATAATCTCTAAGTCCAAATTTTTTTCTGCAGCAAAGCAGCGTATTTCAATTGAGTGTCTTCAAACTGATAAAAGCTATTGCAACGACTGACCAGAAAAATGTTACTTTGGATTAGGATTCAGGACACTAGATCAAGAATAACTCTAATCGTCCCATGCAATCCAAGCTCCACCATGATATATTGGATTCGCCTTAGGGTCTATAGGCTGGTTTCTGGGCGTAACACTAGATTTTCTGTATTTCTCCAACTTTGCCAACAGTTCCTGAACGATGTCGTTGTGTTGACTCGCCAGATTCACATACTCGCAAGGATCTTTCTCGATATCAAACAAGCAAGGTCCTTCAGACTTGGTGCACGTTGGTGGGTCACTGGGCGGTTGGTCGCATTTCACCGCTGCGTTTTTTAAGGTGTTGTTATAGATGTTTGATTTCTCGTATTCGGGTGGAGGATACCATCCATTCCAGCCTTTGCCTGCAATATATAATTAATGCATTTAGCCCTTTCTATTCTGCTCAAAAGACATGGGTTTAATTACATAACTCAATTGAGCTGGCTAGCGCAAAACGAGCGCGTAAGGGGGAAACAAGTCTAAGTCAGGCGTGAGAATAGGAACGTGAGTCACTCCTCGCGCGCCTGCCTCCATCTTGTGCCTTGACACACCCTTGACTCTAGTTACCTTCAGTAAGAATTCGCGAGTCTATTTATGACTGGTAAAGGAGGTCGGAAGAAAAAAATTGGGCCACATTGTATGCTGGAAGCTCCCAATCGCTTTATCGTTTGGTTTTAGGGTTAACCCATTAACTCCCAGAAGTGATTAACAAGTAACTTCTCCCCTATAATATCTAAACATTATCCAGCAAACAGGTCATGAGAAGTTTTTGAAGTTGTTATCTCCATCTGACACCAAACTCCTGTAACTTATTTACAAGGAAATGTCTAGCAGCTAAAAGGGAGAATTCACAATCAGATCTTGGGAGTTAAAGGGTTAACAAGTGACTGGAAAAATTGATTGAAAGTTTCATGTGTAAGTCAGGTGCAGAAAAGCTTAACAATAACCTAAAACAAAAACATCTGTGGGGTTTACTGAGCATTAAACCCTTTTGAGGATGATAGCTGAACAAGTGAAGCCATTGTATAATAAAAAAAAAAACGTTGGGGGAAGCAGCATTTAAGTTCAGTTCCTCCTAATGATGGATGGTACGCGTATAAAAGGCTTGATATTTCAATGTTCACTTACTTGCATTAACAACTATCTTCCATTGGCCATACCGCATAGCAGCCTCCCCGCCACTTGGATGAATGTTGTGCAGTAATTCTTGACGGGGGGAACTCTCTCCCTTGGAGATGGTATCCCACATATCGACCCCATCAAGGTCAGTAAGCTTGCTGGTGTCTCCTCCCGCCAAACCATATAAGGTAGGAACCCAGTCAGACACGTGCATCAGGTCCAGGCTTACTCGGCCACTTGACTTTAACAAGGGACTGTGAACAAACGCTGCTCCGCGAACTCCGCCTGTGAATAAAATTTACAGTCAAAACCACTCTTCCAAGAGTAAATTAAATAGGGATTGTCTTGTGTGGAAAATAAAGAAAAACAAATGTCAACCTCCTCATTTTTTTCAGGCCGAGGAAGTCACGGTGCTTATCTAAACATTCTCCGAAAGTACAAGTTGAATTTACATTTTTTTAAACTTTCCCCGTCAGTAGTCAGTTCGTCTAATAGGATCTCGAATTTTGAAATAAAAATAATATCTAAACTCACTCAAGATCTACACCACCTTGTAAATATCCATATCATATTCACGAGATCCTGTTGAATTGACTTCACAGATAGCTGTCTCCTATTCTGCAGTGGGTGTGTGGGTGTTTATCAATATTTGATTAGGTCTTCAAGAGAGGAAGTTGTAGATCGGTTTACAGTGACTGTCGTTTCGTTACAAAGTCGTTTTGAGACAAATCAATTCAATATATACACAAAGTCGATTCGATACACGTATAAAATCGTCTCGATACAACTTCAGTCACTTTGATACATACTAATAAAGGAGTAATTGAATGTCTGGATGATAAACCAAAACTCACCTAAAGGAGATTCCAAGGATGAGTAGAATTGACTTAAGTTTGTATCCAATCGACTTGTATCAAAATGACTTTTATCGAAACAACCAGTTCCCAGTCACCAAACTTCTCTTCACAAAAACAGACAATTCACCTCTCAAGCTAGCTACGGCCATTAAAAAAGCTACGACTATACTTGTAAATGTGAGGGCACTCATCATGCATGAAACATGTCACAATGAGCGGTTAAAGGGGCACCGAAGAATATCAAAGAACGACATTACCTGGTCAGATTTCAGCCTAAGATTCAAAAGCCTTAAATTTTCCTAAAATAAATTTTGCCTTTGTCAATTTCAAACTGGGACTTTATTGTGTGAAACACCGCAAAAATCGCATGTACCTTCCCACAAAGTAGCTTTCACTCCACGCAAAGGAAAGTTGGATGCCATGTTCTTGTCAAACCCGTTTGCCGGGCCGCCATTGTCTGTAGTGAATACGATCACAGAGTTATTGTACAAACCGTTCGCTACCAAGGCGTCTGCTACCTAAATACAGGAGAGAAAAACATCAGCTTGGTTAAGTAAAAAAAACACTTTGAGAGGCCATAATTTAAGAAGGAACAACCAAGGAATGGATAGTACAGGATGAAAAAGTGAGCGCTGAAGTCCGCATCGAAAGGCCCGAGTTCGAGACGTCATAGTGTTGTGTTGTTGGGCAAGACAGTTTAGTATCAAAAGTGGCCCTCCCCACCCAGGCGTTTATATGGGAAGCCAAATAAAATTCCAGGGAAGTAAAGGGGGGGGGAGAGGAAAGGAAAGAAAGGGGTGGACATCCATTTTAGGAGAGAAGCAGTACTTGTAGTCGCCTTATGTTACATAAACCAAAAAAAAAGCCCCGACTGGATGAGCCACTCGAGAACAGACTTTTATTACCCAATGATAAACCATACTCAAAGAACTGCAAATATCAAACTTGAAAATATTTAGCCGTAATTTTTAACATGAACAAAATGGAGACAAGTTCTTGCGCAGTCGTTTCTTGGTCGTGTCACGCAACGCCTTTTCTCTCCCTCCAAATAAGTTGCGTGACAAGACCGCACAATGGCTGTCAAGGAGACTACCTATGAGATAGTTTTCTATTTTTACCTTTCCAACAGAATCATCCAAGGCAGTAACCATTGCAGCATAGATCCTCCTTCGCTCATCCTCAATGTGCTTAAACTTCTTGATTAGTTTCTCAGGGGCTTGAAGGGGCTGTATTCCATTTGCACTGTGTACTGCTTGATGGGGTAGGTACAGATACAAAGGCTTGGAATGATTATGTGACTGGATAATGTCAACCGCCAAAGTGGTGAACAGTTCAGTGCTGTACATGCCCCATTTGGTAAAGTCATTCTGAATAAAAGTAGATGGGGTGAAATTATCTTTTTCACTCTTCTTGATACTATTTCCAGAGATTTTACTAAAAGCCGGTTACTAGCAGTCTAAGGCAGCTTATCAGAGCTCTTACTGCCATCTAAAGCCTGGGCACAGCTGCCTATTACACTTGAAATCCCTGCCATTTGCTTAATTCTTTAACTCCCATGAGTGACCAAGATAGGATTTCTCCTAATAATTATAATATTGACACAATATCAAGCCAAAAAGTCATGAGAAGAAAGAAAAATATCAATTAGGGAATTATTAATTGATCCAATACCAAATTCTCCCACCTCACATCATTAAAATTGTACAACATACAGTTAGGAGAATTTCTAATGAGATCTTGAGAGTGAAAGGGTTCACTTATAATAATATGAATTCCTTAATCCTCCTTATGAAAGCAATTAACAGAGTTTTGGGTTTGTGAACAAATAAAGAATTATGCCTAGCTTAGTCAGAGGGGTAAAAAATCTAAGATCTTCCCTTTGGCAAGCAATTTGTGATTAGATTAAAACTTTTTTTTTCACTTTAAGATTTGCAGTCACTAATGTTTAAAATGGAGGAGCTGGGTCAATAAATAACTTTGGGGGTGAATTCAATAAATGTGTAACCAGCCCTGAGTATTCATATTTGTAAGGTAAAAGTGAATCAACTCTAATTTACCAACTGGACTTTTAAATTCATCAATTTATGTAATGAGGTTTAAACAAGCCATTTTTATCACTGCAAGTATTTCTTTCTGAAATTGAGCTAAATTATACTGTATCCCTCCACTGCTTGCTGAATTGGATTAACTTCTTACACCCTAACATCAGTATGCATATTCTCCATACTGTTCTCTGTACATTTTCCTATGGTACTGACAATGAGAGTTTGTTGAACAATCAAGAGCTTTTTAAACTGGTGATCATTTCCTTTATTCTCATGACCTAAATGTGTGATTCAGGGGTGATGTTGTATGGAGAAATTATATGCTGGTCACTCTTAGGGGCCATAGGGTTAACTGGATAACAATTGATCCAGGGATAAGCACATTTGCATGCACATGTTGACCCTGTTAAATAAAAAAAATTCCAATGCATGATGTTATTCACCCTTTAAAAAAATTTTCAGCCAAACAATTCCATTTGGGAGAGAAAAATTAAATATTCACGTGCACATTCACTAACCTCGGTGTTGTTATGGAAATCCAATCCCCACCCTTGGCCAGGGGCATCTGATGAGTGATCCCAGTAATCTTCCTTACCACTCCAATAGCCAAAGAATGAATCAAATCCACGCTTAGTGGGAGTGTATTCCGACTTGAAGAAACCCAGATGCCACTGAGGGTGAACAAAAAGAAAAAAAAAACCTCAATAAAATCCCAAGTAAATATAGGAGGTGGAATCTCATCTATCCTGATCCCAGGTATATACAGGTGGATCTCAAATGGGATTCTGCCATTTAGGAACCTCTTGCACAGGATCCTGCTAAATATTCAGCCAGGATCCCTGTTTCCTAAGTATTCCTATCAGACTTACACTATAGACTTCAAATTGGTAAATAATCAGAGTGGTGGCCTGATGACAATAAATCAATTCATCAAAATGATTATCAACAATAAATGCTTCCAGCCACACCTTGCCAACTCCATGAGTTGCATATCCAAATTCTTTAAGGTACTGTGGAATGAGAGTCTCATTCAAACCCAGTCCATATGGTTGTGCAGCCAAAATAACACCAGACTGCATACCTAATAAAAGTTTAGTTTCTCTTAATGTAAAATTACAACTATTGCACATGCACAAAGTAGAATTTATCAACTTATTGGAAAATATTATAAGACATCCATGTTGTCTGATTGCCAGGCTCAGGGTCGAAAAACTGTCAGTGATTGCCGTCAATGACATTCTTTCAAAGCACAACCCTCAAACAGATGGTAAGACCTTTAACTGCCAGGAGTGATCAATATGTCACTTCAAAAACAAAGTTGTAGGGTAGAAGTTTTTATTTTGATCTAAGACCAAATTCTCACAATTAATTTGCAACAAATGAGTTTCAGCTAGAGAGGAGAATTAAAAGTCAGATCTTGAGATGCAACAAGTTATCTTTTTCTTCTAACTTTAAACAATTTACTGCAAAAAAGAAATATTGGATATAAGTGTGACACATGAAACTACAGTATTAGCTAGATTTTGAAATGTACTGTTGAAAGTACTTTTCATGCAAGGAAACCAAAGTGTGAGTGCATGCATGTATGCACCTCAAAATGTTTTGCTCACACTAAAGCTGATCGAAACTGCAGTGGACAAACCTGTATGGATTGGATGTTTGCCAGTCATAATCGCACTTCGTGTGGGAGTGCATATGGGTTGTACATAATAATTGTTCAGGATAACACCATCCTTTGCAAGTTTGTCGATGTTTGGTGTAGGAATCTGGTCAGACCCATGAAAACTTACATCATCCCAACCCTAAAAGCAAAATAAAAGAAAAAATCAAACAAAACTGCCATTTCCTTGTGAAAACATGTTTCATAACACTGAAGAGAGGCATGAGGCTTAGAGTTTAAGGTGGCTACGTATTCTGCAATCCCACACAGGGACTGTCTTGTGTGAGGAATATTGGTTAAAAGACAAATTTAACAGGGCTTTTGAATTGCATTTACATGTATAATGAAATGTCTCCTAAGAGCATCTAATTTTTTAAAATTTTAGATAGTTACCTTTAAGCCTACAAACCTTGTCTAATTCATAGCCTTATTTGGAGATAAACTTCTGTATATATACATTCCTGAGTTATGCATGATCAAACCTAAATGGGTTAAAAGGTTACATGGTCATCTAGGGATTTTTAAAGAGGGATTCAATGAGAACAGGAAAGCAATGGTTCAAGGAAGTAAGCCATTACATGCAAATCTTCCCTCTCCCCTACCATCTACTCCCTCTGCCCAAGGCCAATTTCCTGGCTGGGTCTTTTCTATCACTGGGGTCCATGTTTGCAAGTCTTACCAAGTCGTCTGCTACAATGAATATGATATGAGGCTTGGAGCTTTCCTTGGCTGCACATGACCATGGCAAATGGCTGAGCAATGCAAATACTAAGAAGACTCTGCTCAGCAAAGTCAACTGCATCTTGCTAAGCTGATGGTCAGAGGAAAATCAACACTATAATTACAAATAATATCTGTAGCTAGGTCCACAGGCAGCCCAAGCTCCAGCTGTGAGATGATCATCTTTGGTAATACAAGTCATGGCAAAAATATAAGAAAAGGTCCTTCTCTTAGGAGTAGTAACCCTAGAAATTGATAACTTGCTAAAATGGCTTCTTTTCAGCATAGTAAATGTTCAGACAACAAGCAACACACTGTGGAAGTAAGGCAAGGTATGAGATATTATTGAGAATTTGAAAGTATTTTTTTTTCCTAAGAGCGGTTGTAAATGTTCCCATACAAACTCTTATCTTTTTGCCATGACTCTTATTTCACAAGATAATCATCTCACAGCTGAAGCTTGGGCTATCTGTGTTAAGCCATGACTCTGATGGGAAAAAGATGGGAATGGTGGGGCTGTGAGGAAACTCAAAATCTTACAGAAGTGGGATGCATCATGAAAAAGAATAGCCTTATCTAGAAATGATGGTCTGGGTGGTGGAACAACAGCCTCGAGTTTGCAAGGGGGTGAAGATATTACAAAGGGGGATTGTCGCCCGTGAGTGATCGATACATCAATGGTTTCCCATCCATTTCTCCTTGAAATTCAAAGTATTTCAACTACATGTATCTTGCGTTATCGTAAGCTGCTCTTCAGTGTGACGAACAATATCAGGGAAACGTTTAGCATGTGGCCTGTCAATAACATACACATCAAGAAAAATATTATGTAAGTGTAACGCTTCACTAACAAATTGCAAGGCTCACCGAATTTTGGAGCAATCGAAGGTCCAGTATAGCTGACTAATGTTTAAACCTGAAACGATTTGAAATCTGCGTGATAACCTGAGATAGAATAGCGTTTATCATGTCAATTACTTAAGTCTTATGACTCAAAATTACCTCACCTTTCTCGTCTGGACTGTCTGGAGGTACAGCTCGTGACTTTCCCATGATCTCAACGTGTTACAAATGTGGAACCTGGGAACAACAACATAGCGCTGTGGCACCCAAGCTACCCTCCGATGTAGGGGAAGGGAGAGAAGTAAAGTAGGGGGAGGGGGAAAGAATGGAGTGGCGTATAAAAAAAAAAAAAAAAAAAAGAAAGGTAATGGGAAGGGAGGGAGGAGATGTTTGTTCTCAACAGGCTAAGCGCTAAAAAATCGGAAACTTCTGATTCTTTTGAAAAAATGTCCCAGAATCGGTCTTTTGTCTCTACTCGACTTAGAAGTAAACCTTCCGCAAACCAGAGTAGCATCAAACTATGTTTGATTGTCCACCTGGTTGCCGTGTGAACTTTAATATACTTCCTTCTGCTCTTCAGTCTTCCACCATCTGCCGGCTGCCATATTTCGCAGGAAAAAACATTTAGAGGAGCAACCGGCTGATCTCAGAAACGTCCGTAAAGCCACTTAATACAACAATTAGTCTTCTTACAGCCCTTGTATTCACTATCATATCATCACCGTAAGAGCGCGAGCGAAGAATAAGAGTCGTGAGGGATTTATTTAATAAACGCAAACGTTACCTGATCTATTTTAGCGCTCACATCGCACGTCCTCGATTTTGAGTGATACAAGACCGCGTGAAATGACAGCAGTGTATGTAATGGCCTGCCAGACGAGCTGGATTATCATAACCGATCGCAAATGCCTAATAATATGTACCCTCATCCCACCCCTCTTCAAACTCCTATACAATTGATACTTTGATTCCCACCGTAGTCTCCTTTGCAGCCGTCCAGTGTAAGATGCCACTCATCACTTCCATGAAACGAAGCATATTTTTGGGGGCGGAAGGTTGGGAAGGGGGGGGGGGAGGGGAGGGATGGGTGGAACGTTTCGTGATATATCAAAACATAGGCACGCTACGCATGCAGGAGTTATTTTTTTGGAAGGGTGGGTTGAGGTAGGACACTTCGAGTAAGATTCTAACGAAAATATCGTTTAATAGAAGGCAAAAAAACCCTTCTAGTTTATCCAGAATTAACAAAGACACAACAAGTTACAACAGCGGTCCGCTTAATACAGGTTTCATTGTATTGTACAGAGTACTCAAGTGTTTAGAAGATTTTTAAATCCGAGCGGTACCTTTCAGCCCATGATTCTAGTTTTATTCATCCATACTTTTTTTTACTTTTTAAAAAATAAAATTTTACGTCATCCCTTCTGTTTGACGTTCTCATTGTTGCATAAAATCAACCCTTAGAACCTTAAACAATGGAGGTGATTTTTACACGTAATGGCCAGACACGTGTATTTCTGAGAAAAGGCAATGTTCCCTGCAGTTGGTATGTTTCATGCTCCTTAATTAAGACTCATTTGAAGTTACAGTATATTAAAATTTCAAAGGGAATCCACATACAGATCACTCCTGCAATAACATGATTGGCTGGTTACTGATGAAAATATTATTAAATTACATCTTAGTTCAGTGTGGCCTAACCACTCTCAGTAAGGAAACAGAGGGGGTGGAGAGAATTTACACCAACTTCCCCCAAACCTACGTTCCTCCTCTTCTACATCAATCAACCCTCAATCCATCCAAGGACTCCAAACTCCACCGAAGTTGTTAGGATTTGCTTTAGGGTCAAGCGGTTGATTTCTTGGTGGGACCATAGTCTCTTTAAATCCTTCGAGCCGCTTCAACATACTTTCTACCAGTTCCGACTCATTTTTAGCAAGATCGACATATTCACAAGGATCATCTGCAACGTTAAACAAACAAGGGCCCGACTCCCTTGTGCACTCCGACGGAGAACTGGGTGGCTTACCGCAAGTGACGACAGCTTTCTTCAATGTCGCACCTCGGATTGCATGATTGTAGTTGTCTAGTCCGGGGGGAGCATACCATCCACTCCACGATTTACCTGAGGGAAGGGGAGAGAGACATTCGTAAAGCCACGGTATTGTATACAGCAACGTATGAGGAGTTTATGTCATAAATAGTGTGGGGATCCGCATCAGAAGAAACTGTGCCTGAGATCTTTGGCAGAGGGCACAATTTTTTCCCATACGGACCAATCTAGACTGGTAAATGACTTTGTTTTTTTTCTTCGGCTAGTTGTGCCGCGAATAGTGTATTGTAAAAAGCTGGACCAGTTTCGAGCACGTGATCAGCCAATGAGATCAGAGAATTTAAGATTCTGACCCACAGAGTTACTTCAGAAAAAAGAAAATCCATATATTTCTTGTATTATCGATTCAACAACCATCACCACAACAAAAGCAACAACAATAAACACAAATTGTACATGGACCTTTTAGTTTAACAAATGAAGTAGATTTGGATATCAAAATTCAGGCTTACTTCTCGTACTTGCATTCACAATAAGTTTCCAGTCACCAAACCTCAAGGCTGAATATCCACTCATAGGATCTATATTGTGAAGAATTTCCTTGCGAGGTGATTCAGTTGCATTGGAAAGTGTTTCCCACATATCGAAGCCATCCACAACACCCAAATCATGAATGTCACCTCCCGCTAAACTATACAGTGTGGGGAGCCAGTCAGTGACGTGCATCATTTCCATGCTCACTCGGCCTTTTGTGGACAGCAGAGGACTGTGTACGAAACCGGCGCCACGAACACCTCCTGATAAGCAAAAGGTTAGCTTGTTGTTAATTAAAAATTGGACGAAACACTAATGAAATGAGTAATTTCATGGTTTGGTGGCAACACGCAAGCAGTGGCACCACAGGCGTCCCAAGCTCACGTCTCGAGAGAAAGCACGCTATTTTTTTCATGAAGTAAAGTTTATAAAAGCGTCACGCGTTATGTGACGCGGTGTATATATATTTCGAAATATGAACATTTTATACGAAAAATTAATAAAACGTACCCACATCTTCCCCATACTATTCCTTATATCGTGTTCAAATTCTCAACGTTTCCTCTCATAACTTAGCACTGCGTCACACAACGCGTGACGCTTTCGTGAACTTTCATGGAAAAAATTGTTAGCTCTCTCTCAAGACGTGAGCTTGTGACGCCTGTGGTGGCACTGACAATTAGCACTACTATTAAACAGTGACAAAACTAGATAGAATCGCGAACATCTCAAAACAACTCTCTTTCTAATGAATAAAATCATAATTTCATATAACGCTTTACCTTCCCATAATGTTGCCTTGACTCCTCTGAGAGGAAAGTTACAGGCGGAGTTCAAGTCAAAACCTGCCGCCGGACCGCCATTATCCGTTGTAAATACGATCACTGAATTGTTGTACAATCCCTGGGTTTGGAGTGCATTAATGACCTACACGTATAGAGAGAATTCAGCGGTTAAAATCAATGGTTAAAGAAATTCACGGAAGTAGTGTAGTTTTAAGTTTAAAGTTGCATGCATAATTGCTTTATTTCACTGTTCTCTCAAAATTGCGGCAATGGAGCGCAATGAGACTGAAAGAGTGATTTATGGTTCGTGAAAATGAACTCATACTTTTAGGCATTTTGGTGGCTTCCCTCTTCCCTCACCCTGATATCACAGCGGTCAAAGGTCCTTTTTTGATTGGCTGTTGTGATTACTTTGGGTTTGGATTTACGACAATAGACCGAAAAGTACCTTTCCAACACCCTGATCGAGGGTTGACACCATTGCAGCAAAAATTCTCCTGTTTACGTCCTCGATGTTGGAAAATTTCTTGATTTCAGATGGTGGCGCTTGCAGTGGCTGAATATAATTCGCACTGTGAACAGCTTGGTATGGAAGATACAAAAACAAAGGCTGAGAAGGGTCATGCTTCTGAATAACATCGATGGCTTTCGCTGTGAAGAGATCGGTACTGTAATTGCCCCAGTCAGTAAAGGCAGGCTGATATTTGAAAAGAAGAAAAAACAAATTATAACGAGGATGAAACAATGGTGGGAAGAGAGAGAGAAATTAAAAAATAAGAATAGGCGAACGATTTGGAAAACATAAGTACAGCTCATCGAATAATGAACCAGCGAATCAACGGACAGACATATCGACGAACCGACGGAACCACGAGCTCACAGACCGACCAAATGTTACCAACGAACCGAATCAAAGAAAATGACGAACAGAAAAAACTGCAGAACAAGCAAACAGACAAAGAACCAAACGCACCACGACGTAAACAGAAGCACGACCAAGTAGTAAACAAGAAAGATACAGAACAATCAACAAACAAGCGAAGAAATGACCAAAGGAGGTGAAAAACGAAGGTTTGAGATGAAATCTCAACTAAAGAGCGGTCTTAGAGGGGACAGCACAAAGGTCTGTAACTGTAAAAAACTCATAGAGCGCTTTACGATCGAGTGTCACCAAACCAACACCAAAGTTAAAAAAGGCCAATCAGAAGAAGGAAAATACCTCGAAGAGCCAATAAGAGCTCAAAGTAAAAATACTGCCTAAGGCGCGGGAAAACGCGGGCGATTAAGTCATAATTGGTTTTAGTTTTGCATCTGATTGGTTGAGAGAGTGGCGGGAGTTTTGTGGACCAATCACAACGCGAAGAAAAGTAAAAGCAAAGAAATCCCAGAATACTTTTGACACTCAATTGAAAATCGCTCTATTGAACATAATTATTTTAATGGAATCCCATACTAACTCTGAATCAATTCAACTTTTACCTCCAGGTTATCACGAAGGTCCAATCCCCAACCGAATACTTCTTTGTTTGAATGGTCCCAGTAATCTTCCTTTCCACACCAGTAACCGAAAAAAGAATCAAATCCTCGTTTTGTAGGAGTGTATTCTGTTTTGAAGAAACCAAGATGCCACTAGAAGACAAAAAAAGTAGATAAAAAAGGGGAAAATAACTGAATGGAAAACTTATGAATAAAAAGAAGGGAAATAAAGAAAAGAATAGATGATTCAGTGGTTAAGCCTTTAACTCCCAAGATCTGATTGTTAATCTCCCTTTTAGCTGCTACACATA